CATCTTCATTCAATTAGATCCAAACAAATGTATAACCATGCTTTGTATATACAAGCAACATATAAATTATTATATTAACAAAATAGAATTAATAAAATATTTTGTGCTTATATACGTACTTACAAGAAAACAAAAATAAAATGGTTTTGGTACACCTGGTTTCCATGGCCAAACAGAATCCAAATACCAAATTAATACAATATAAATAAGACTCGAGACAAGAAACATTCCAAATATTAATCCTATATTAAAACCATCTCCATAAATTGTTGGTGATTCCAAAACTTCTTTCCAGTGGGTACCACCCTCTATAACAAAATATATATTTATTAAAGATTATATTTCAAAATTTGCATTAATGGTTTTTATAACCATCATTAAAGATAAAGCCAACCACTGACGTATGCCATCGGGTTATATAACGTTATATAATCTGATGGCATATGGCAGTGGTTGGATTTATTAATGTATTGGGTTTTAGTAGAGTTGTTTGATCATTAAAACATGTTAAAATACAAATTATCTGATTTAAATAGAAAAATGTTGATAGTATTTTTAATTCAATAATGGTAATAGATTAAAAGAGATATGAAGAGTCTATATCATAGATATTGTGAATGTTCAAAGTGAAATATAATTAAACAAAGTATAGTATACAAGAAACAGACTTTATTTTGCATATTAACAAGGAATTTACAGGTCCCAACTCTTACCCAAGTTCCAGGTTTTCTTTTGCGAGACTGGTATATACAATGAATCTTTTGCATAGGGGGATGTTGTCACAATTTCTACTTTTGATTGGTTATAAAATGTGATGGTACAGAGACTTTACAATCATGAACTGCGTTCTTAGCCGAGTATCTTAAGCTACTTATAACTAAATTAAGGAAATATGCATATAGATAGAAGAAGAAAGGAAAGAAGAATTTGTAAGACAGGTGTACCCAAAATCTTGACTAATCTTTTGATGTGTTGGTTTGGATCCGATTCTAATGTCCTTGCTGATCTGCTGCTCTGAACCACTCTTTAAGTGTTCATGATGAGGGATGTTCTCTGAGAAGTCTTCCCTATAACACTTATGGACAAAAACTTCTTATGTATCTTTTCCTCTGATATCATGCTCTCAAACTCTTGTCAATGCTGAAATGTCCTAGAGCCTTCTACACCTTGTCTTCACAGTGTCCAGCCAAAGAGTGGTTCTCTAGAATGAGTTTTTACCCTCAGGACTTTGTCTACTATTGTCTTCTCCTCCACAATCTGGTTTAGTAAGGTTAGATACGAAAATTCTCGGAATACGAAAAACAAAAGATACACAATAACAAAGGGATAGTGAAAGATTATAAATAAAATACGATATAAAACTAATACTATGCATAAAATATGGCATACTGCCACAATATATATAGATTGATCATACATAGTTTAAAATGGAACAATAGTAGTTTCTTAACTCTGTCCCAACTGTTCCACCATTTTAGTAAGATTTTCATTTTTGTTCTGTTTTTTGAAATCAAAAATTCATTCTTGATCTTTCTTCTCTCTATGTAATTGGAGCAGAAGAGATTAAGAGAAGAATATACTTTTTTGTATTAAAGAAAACAATTTGCAAGGTGATGTAATATTGAAATTGGGGGTTCGTCTGCTCAAACAGTTCTAGTTCAGAAAGTTTAGAATGAATTTGACTTTTAGAACTAGTAGAATTACAAAGAGTTATAATTTTGAATGACAATGTTTTTAGTTTTAGACCTAAATGATGAGCCAAAAGTCTCAAAAGTGTTTGGGACTGAATGTAAGCATGTTGGATTTTGTGATTTCTCTGTTATTTTGTAACAAGTTGTAATTTTATGGAGAATAATCCAATTTACATCATCTATTGGCATTTTTTTTCATCTTTATTTAGTTGAACTTTCAACTAAATAAAGATGAAAAACCACAGTGTTTAAATTTGTCACACTTAATAGTGTTTGAACAACAAAGAATTAAATCAGTAAAATAATTTGATATAAATGATAATCTTAATCACAAATTTTTAGCATTAACTACATACAAATATTTACTAAAAAACTCTTAAATCACATATCAACTTTTAAATAAACAGAGTATGCAATACTTACTCAAAAATTCAAAATGTGAGAATGCAAACCATACCCAAACAAATGCCATATTTGGTAAAAGACAAGTTAAAACTTTAGTATTAAAATGCGTATTAGCAAAAACATCTGTACCAAATGGTACTACAAGTATGAAAGGTCCTAAAAAGCTACCAATCCATATAATAACTGTCATTATTACAGCATAAGAGGCTAAAAAAATATAAATGTATATATTATTATTAACTTAAAAAATAAATTACAATTATAAAAAATATTAAATTATTTATAAATGTTAATTATTTACCAGATTATAAAAGTTTTCTTTGGTTTATTAGATTTAAATTTACTACATATTACTTTGATTTCATTTCAAACTTATCTTGTACATATAAAAAAAACTGTAATAATAGTTTCTCCAGCAATAAATTAATAATTATTAATTATAAACTTATGGTTATAATTTTAAAAAGTTTGTAAAGTAATAATTTAAAAAAATAGAAAAACAATAATAAATGCCACATTGCTTTGAATTTAATACAAACACACACACACATTCATGTTTTTTTTTATCAGGTTGTAAAGGCAAAATTTAGACATTTTGAAAAAAATTTAATTGACAATTAACTCAAAAATGATTACAGTTCAGCTCTGGTATATAATCACCATCAATATCAATCACATCTTGCCACCTTTGCTGCGAACTTTCAATCTTGTGAGAATAGAATGACCAGGTTTTACCTTCAAGAAAATCTTCAGCATCAGGCCTTCCCATGTTGCTATCTTACCTCCTTCCTCCATCACAAGCACATCAAAAGTGACCTTTCTCCTTCGATACTGTCCTGTGATCCCTTTCTTCTTGGAAGTACTGCCTGAGGCCAACCAATACGTGGAAAAGCTAGATGTACAGTTCAAAAGACCAGAAGTAGCCTGTTTTGGGAGGGGATAGAAGAGAGAAAAGATAAATGAAAAAGAAAAATGACTTAATCAAGCCACAGCAGCATGCAAATATGATCTTTTAAAAGTTTCATATTGTCAGACATTGCCAATGCATCTATTTCAAATGAAATATGTGATGAAATCCCTTTGGTTACTTTACTTATATATCCACATCAAATGTTCTAGAAGATTTTTTACCAGTCATTTGTAGAAAAAAAAAATGTCTAGATGTCTAGATTTTTACCTTTAAACCTGATAAAAGTAATTTTCAGAAAAAAGATAGATGATAATTAAAAGAAAATGTAATTTAAAAGAATTTATTAAAGAGTAAAAATATTAATATATTTAGAATAAATATAATTAATAGAAAATCAAAATAAATAAGAAATATAAAGTTTGTATTACATATATATATTTTTGAAGTGTGTCAAGGAATATCCTGAATTTAAGAAGCAACTCAAAGTTTAACATGTACTAAAAGTTTCTGTTTAGAAAATATTTAAAAATGTCTTAAATTCAAAGCAATATTAAAATAATAATTATAATAAATAATATTTTGATATATGAATACATACGCTTATTAAATACAGTTGTAATTAAGAAACAAAACAACAGTGATGAAATACTATATAACAGCATCAGAACAAAAAATAAACTAGGGGAAACACCTCTCAACACCACTGAATGGCCTTTAACAAATTCAATTGAAAACATAAAAACGATAAACAAATCATGTAATAATAATTCTAAGAAGTTGCTGATAAATGTTCCTGTCCAATATGTCAGTTCACTAATACCCATCATTTTCATGATTTCCTGTTAAGAAAGTAAAAATAAATTAATAAAAATTAATCTATATAATTATTTAACTGAAAATTTTTATAAAATAAATAAACAAAAATGTCTTGTTTTACAGTTTGTTAGCATTTCATATATCAGGGGTTCCCAATAGGGTTAGTATTGACTGCTTAGGGGTCAATGAAAGTTTAAGTATATATAATATATTACTATTCATTATACAATATATAATATTGAAGGAGTCAATGAAAAAACTTTTGTTAAATGGGATCAATACATAAAAAAGGTTGGGTATTCCTGTCATATGTGGATAAACTTTCATTTCGTGATGAAACAAAAATGTAACTATTGGATTTAAAACACTGAAAAATTTAATATTTCTGTCTAATATATATCAATTTCATACTTATTTCTTTGATCAAATAAGGTCTTGTTTATATTTTCTAAGGTCTTGTTTAATATAACTTATTTCCTTCTTAAGATTAGTATTTTAATACAGTTGCTCCTAGTCATATTATTCATGTTGAATGACAAACCAAATAGATGTGGTATAATTGATGTATTGCATCTATCCACTTCCATTTATTTTCAATCTTTACTCAGACTTTCTATTTTATGTCCTTGTACTATTTTGTACAAGGTCAATGATTGGATAAGGTAATATTTCTTTACATTTGGAAGTGCCTCTCATAGACATTGTGGAAATGCCTTGTACTGTACCTGAGGGAAATGCACTGACATTGTTTGCCCGACAATAACGAAAATAGATTCGTTGAAAGCACTAGCAATAAAAAATATTAATAATGCCATACACAGTGAATTTTCCTTCCTGCTAATATTTCCTTGCCATTAAAAATTCAATGGCAACCAATTTTTTAAAAATTATTGGCTAAAAGTGCATTTATATAAATATTTAAAAGGAAAAAGGGCAATAAATTCAAATAAGTGATATAAGATGTGATATAATGAGGGATTACCCTGTTAAAAAAAAATGTCTATTGGTTTTACATGGTTATTCACCTTGATTAACCAAAAGTTTAATAAATAAATATATGGTACAAGACCAAAACACAGGAACTGCAGATCACAAATTCAAGATTGTGCAGTATAATAATAACCTGAAAGGTATATACTGTTAAGTAGCAGGAGGCAACAATCTTTTCCAGGCCTGCAGAAAAAACCTAATCATCTATGCTCTTCTTATGAACTCCAAGCACCATCACAACAAGCTGTACTTTCCAGGATTATACTCTATCCTCCAAGACAATAGAGACAGCCAGCAGCTACAGTACAGTACAGTACATTGGGGCAATGATGTGTCCATTAAAACAATGTTTACAACAACATCTCAATATAATTAATAAAAGTCAAACTACAGTGGCATTAGTTATATAAGTCTTGGATGAGGACATGCAGTTAAACATTAACAATGAATACTTATCATACCTAAGAGCTTCCACAACTTGAACACCTTGAAATGTTAGAAATTTAGAAGACCAGCAGACACAACATGGTAATTAACTATAAGGACAATAACACATTATCAAGCTTGGAGGATATTGTTTGAAACTGAATGTTACTTTCACATTCCAGCAAAACCACATGACCACTGATTGCCAATTAGATTGTGGTCGTCAGCCATATTTTAGTTTGTATATAAGTCACAATTCCTTTATTTCATTTCTATTTTCTTTCTATTGTCTTCGAGAACTTCCCCCATATCAACCATTACTATTCGAGGCGGAGGATCACCCCTTCTCAGAACCAAGGGTAAAACAAGGGCGTAGGGTATTAGGGCTTCCCCAAATTTGGGGAGATAGACAAAGGAAAGAAGGATGAGGCAAAAAGAAAGTCAAGAGGGGAACACTTTTTAACTGGACCTCGAAATTGTACAGAGTAGTGATTGAGACTCAAAAGAGAGAGGAAGGAAAAAGACAGCAGGTATAGGAGAGTACTGTTGAGGGAAGAGAAGAAAAAGCACGAGGGACTTGAGAAAACCGAAAGATGTGGAGAACCTCGAGAACAAAGTGCTAAATCAGTAAAGGAGAATAAGAGATCATGATTGTGAAAGGGCACTTCTCCAAAGATATTGGTCAATCAATAAGGACCCAGGTATTCCCTATCTGTTTCTCTATACTTTCCTAAGTCTATTCATTTCCCTGGTATATTAGTTTTAAGGTAGCCATAAGATTAGTTTTTTAAGTCAGTTATCATGGTTTTATCTTATGCACACGTGTATTATATACTTGCACAAGAATAGGAGGTGACCCATTTCTGTGCAAGGATAATAGGGTAAAGGAAATCCGTTAAGTTGGGATCTTTGTAACAAAATAAGAAAAAAAAAACCATGTTCAGAGAGCATTAAAGGAATATTCAATCATACACATATTTGTTTCTGTGTTCCTATTTGTAATATTTATTCATGGACTTACAAAATCTCTCATTGCAAACAACCACAAGATGTTGCTCTTTTCATATTTTAAATTATAGCATTCCATTTTTCATTCATTTTTTAAATCTGTTCTTTTATCCTAAAGATGGTTGCTCAAAGCAATTGAAAATGTTTGTTTTCCTTTTACTTTTTTGATTTGCATGCTGGATTTTTAGTTTTATGGTGAAAAAGAAGAAATTGTACTGTCTTCCTGCATGAATTTTGTGAGTGATATTTATACTTTTCATCCAGTATACCATCTGTTTATTTAAATCATGAGTTAAAGTTGATTCAGACAATAATTATTTTCTGTTTAATTTTTCCAAGTTTATTTTATCATTATTACTGGATAAAGGAAATTAGTCATAAAATAAAAACAATCAATCATATTTATATATTTTCACACTTAATTTATGTAATCAGAACAATTCATAAACACAAACATTTAAATTAAGGGTGGCTGGTGAATAAACGGGTAAATTTTTCAGTATTTCAGAGTAATTTCTCAGTAGTCACTTTCCTGTGAAAGTTAAGTACACTACCAAGAACACAAGACATCTTCAAAACTGCATTATTAGTTAATTTTAGTATAAGATATTTAATACAGTAGATTCTCCTATAACACTGTAGATAATTCCATGTTACACGAATTCCATGTTGTAAGAGTCACTTAGATTTTACAAATACGTGAGCTGTTCACAACCCAGCACACGTATTTGTAAAATCTAAGTGACTCATACAACATGGAATTCATATAACACAGAATTATCTACAGTGTTATGGGTGGTCTACTGTACTTTAATAATTTTATCTAAAGGTATGTGTAAATCATTTTATATTAATTATTAATAGTTAATCAAACTATACTCTATAATACTCTATAATAATCATATTAATTTCCAGATTATTTGATTATTATAGAGTATTTGAGTTTGACCATTTATGTATATCTACAATCAGCAAGCCCGTCTTTGGTACATGTGAGGCCCCCTTAAGGAATTCATAATAGAGGGTTAATGCTATCCCCACTTCATCAGCAGTTTACTTACAACTAAATTAAACACCAGAACACTTGCTAAGCTTACTGCAATTTAATATTCAAATGCTTTCAGCCTGTTCTTATAGGTCATCCTCAGGAAATTTTTTCAAAAATTTTTGAAAACTTTAAATTTTACGAGTATTCAAAAGCTTTGTGTTCGTTTATGGAACTGTAATTTCCTGAGGATAATCTATAAGAATAGACTGAAAGCATTTGAATATTAAATTGCAGTAAGCTCAGCAAGTGTTCTGGTGTTTAATTTAGTTAGAGGGTTAATGTTCATGTAATTTTTTCAATTAGCTTTACTAACTGCTAAACATATTGTTATATTTATGTTTAATAAAATTTATCAAACATCTTTTGATTGTTTACTGTTTATAATAATTTTATTACTTGTTACTTTTGTAGTGTTTGTTCACTAAGTATTTGTATTTTATCATTAGTTATATATAAATATATATTTTTCGTTCTTGTCGCAAGTTATTAATTGTAAAATTTCCGTTAGGTTCGTACCACCTCTTGTGATGTGGTGGTGCGAGCCCGTGATTGGCCCCTGCCATGACGTAGGTTCCCTCGTCAGGTACGTGGCGCGGAGGTATAAAATAAAATGTGCCACGTGCAGAAAACCCCCCGTTCTTCCTGGTTCTGTGGTGCAGGAGTGTTCGTGTCGAGTTGGTAAAGAAGGAGAAGGAACAAAGGAAGTTGGAGAACAAGGGAAGAGTGTGCCACGTGGAAGAGAACTTTATGTGCGAAAACGTAGAGACTTTTCATCGAGCATCAAGATCAGCCTTTTCGTAAGGATAGTCAACTTATTGTTCTTTTCTTTATATTTTTAAAACCTAATTGTCGTGTCGGGAATATTTGTGATTTTTTTTTTAAGTCCTATTGTCGCGTCGGGGATTATCTATCGAATTATTCATTAATACTCTTGTATCCGGACAAGAGGGGTGACAAGAATCCCAATGCTAACCGAAATTCGTGATTGAACCTCAGACATGTATTCTAGAGAAATTAAAATTGTTCAGTGTCCCGTTGATTCGTGTTGTCCTTTCTGTTCTCAAGCTCACACTAACGTACTTCGGTACGCTAGGGATTTACACTTTATTCAATTTTGCATATTTTTGGGGTCTCAAATGTTAGGAGGCCCCTGGGCCCAGGCCCAGTAGGCACACTTAAAGACGGGCCTGACAATCAGTAGCATCATTTATGAAAGAAGCTTTAAACTCTTATGATTAAATGTCAGATCAATGCTTTCACAAGGTAGTTCTGATTGCACTTGGGGCTAACTTGGCCTTGAAAACATGGAATGTGCTTTTGGTCAACACATGACCAAGTTGCATGGAACAGACAAATATCATTCATTCATTATTTGCAGAATAGGCTAGAAGCCATAAATTTTCTGTTGTTTATTGCAATGAAATTTTGGCTCCCTTGGGGATTAGGAAAAAGCAACTAAAACAAAAAAGGAGGAGGACATGTGCCCAAAGTTCCCAATATATGGGTGCCCCTGACTACAATGATTTATTAACAGAAATGGAAAAAGTAATATTTTAGTGCATGAGATGGCCACTTTTAAACTGCATACCAGTAATTATTATGAGATTCTGAAGGGGGCAATTAAGTAATTAGATTAATTAGTTAAAAGAATACACAGTGGAGAAACCCTAGTTTTTCCCACCACCTCATACTTCTGTTGCACATGGATCTGAGAGATAAACAGAGGATTGAATATCATAAAGAATAAACAATCTTTATAATGTTTGGACTTATTTCAGACATTCTACTAGAAGCCATAGACCACGGCTCACCCACAATACTCCAACGCTATCCCCACAGAAACCTCCCTACCAATACGCCTCAACAGAAGTAAAAGACAGCATAACTCCCCCTAAGAGGTATTATGTTAGAATGTTTGTAAACTCTCTCTCATGGTCTTTTAGCATTTAAGGAGAATTAGTATATAGTCGATAATTTAGTCTGTAAACATAGTATTGAACGTTATGTTGCAGAATAGGCTAGAACCCATAAATTTTCTGTTGTTTGTAATCTTGTATGCTTTAAATTAGTTCATTAAATTGTTATTTTTGTTATTTAATCTGCTCTCATGTGGACTTGTTAGACACCAACACCCTATCAATGAACGTATCACCCGTCACTTGGGTCAACCATCCAGTGACAAAGTGAGCGGTCTTCACCAGACCGTTGCCGATCCAAGGGGGTTTAAACCAGTATCCACCAACCCCATGGCTTCTCACATTATCTTGCTTTCAACTGCCACTCTGGAGGCATAGGGTATATAGTAGGGTGAGTTATACAAAGGTTTAATTTTTGTTCTTGCAATTTTCTGATAAGTGTATGTCATTGTAGGTTATATGCTACTGCAAATTACCCACTAAAATTATAGTAAATAAATTTCTTTATATCTTAAAATGCTTTCATATTTCTACCCATTCCTGGAAATTTTTGAACACATCATGCATATTATTACAATTTCTATGCACAATAAAAAATTGAAAATTAAAATAGAAATTTGAAAGCACATGATTTATGTTTATGTTAAAAAATATTTTTTATATATAAATAAATAATAATACCTTTGTTCTGCTACATTTTTCTTCAACAATTCTTTTTACAATTATTGGAAATATGAATACAAAATTTATAATCATAACAAATGAAACTGCTATCAACTCGACAGACATTGCCTTTACTTCATCATTAGGTGGATATGGCATAGACTGTAGAGTAAACTGCAATAAAAATTTCATAGATTAAGTGCTACTCTGTATATAAAATAGTTTAATAATTATTATTTTGTTAAATTATTTATAAATTGAGAAATTAAAAATAATTATATAATATTCCTGACATAGTAAAGTATTAATATATAGTTGTGTAATTAGATCATCATTTCAAGAAAGATCAGAATGAAATTTCAATTATGCTAACTATTATTATTTTTACTGATAAAATAAATTAGAAAAGTAATAATTAGTAAACAGATATTACAGCTATTTTACAAATTCCAACAAAACAACACAAAACAAAATACCATAACAACAAACACACGTTACACAACTACTGCCTCCATTAACTGGATTTATTCTTAAATACACTAAAAAACTAAAACATTATATTTATTTGAACATTATAGTTTAGTGTTTTTGAGTATAGATTATAAGTTACAAAACTTCAATAATATAAACATTGGCATTACACAAAAAGAACAGAGCATAATACAATTTAATATATTTTAAGCTTAGAAGTACATTATGATTTTATAAATACACTCGAACAAACCTTTACATATGCAGCCGTAATTTAATAGATAAATTCAAACGTTTGACTATATTCAATGGTCTTTATCAAGAAAAAAACTGAACAATCGAACTTCGAACTTAAAATTTGCATTACCGATACAAGTGTTATTTTTGGAACGTTTTTAAAAAGATATTCTATCGTATAAGCGCCATCTCTACATATTGGCTGTAATTACAGTAGTTAAAATAATACCAGTAAAATACATTAAAATACAATAAAGTGCAGATAGAAACAAAAGTTAAGAGAGTTGCCGCTTTGCTAACTTTCTTGACTCTTATAGTATGCATGTTCGCCATGCTGCCGATATTTTGCTTGCATCCTGGAAGTTGATAGCTAAACCTTTTTGGCTTGTTTTGCAGATATGCCAGGCTTCAGCATATCTAAGGTGCTTTTTGTCGCATACTATTTGTATCAATTTTACTATTTGTTCGAGTGTATTTAGTTAAGAAATGCAGTCTCTGACGAGTTATGATTTTATTTATACTAAATACATTATTTCAAAAATAACTAATCAAAACTTTATAATCTAATTAATTAATAAATGTTTAAGTTATCTATATTTTTTGTTGTTTTAATTAATATGCCCTTTTAATGTCAGAGCCAATAAAATTAGAATTTCCACTACCATAACAGTAGTCTTGTTTATTAATATGTAAATTTTCGACTATAAATTTGACTATCTTCTATTATCAGGACTTATTATACTGGTTTTACAGATAATATTACAAAGATTAACAGAAAACAATTTTTATTTTATTTCGTATACCTGTAGTCTTGTTTAATTAAGTAGTCTTGTTTACTTATCTCACTTAATGTTATCAGTTGATTATCAACATGGGCAAATATCAGAATAATTACAGTAAGCAGAGTCTATTGTTTTTTAAATGCAGTAAACTTTTCAAAAACACTTTTCTATAACTCTTAGATTTTTTATTTTTGTGTATTATAGATCTACAAGTATATAGCATTGTTTGTTGTTCTAAAGTAATGATGAGCTGACAAGCAAACATGAACATCTTTACTTTGTCTGAATTTTTAATATTGATGAAAACCTGCTTTAACTATATTAGCATTATAAAGAAAATGTGGCATGGTAACAACATATTCTTCAGAAAGAATACATTTTTTATCTTTGAATCAAATCATATGTATGATTTATTACAGCCATGATTTTAATGATAAACATGTTCTTGTTTGCTTGAACTGCTTTGACAAGTTTGTTTTTGTTGCCATCGCTAAAGATATGATGTATACTTTTAATAACAAACAATGCTTTTAGCCCATGACTATAAATTAGATAGAGTTAGATAACCTAATAAATAGGATTTAACAATTTGGAGGGCTTATCACACCAAGGCAAACAGAAAGAAGGACCAGAACTTTTACAAAAAAGTTAGTCTTTAATAATCACATTTCAAATTTAGGTAAGGATGCATTTTGGGTACAAGGACCCCTCATCAGCTTACAAACACATGGCAACAACATAACAATTATAACACCACTAGTTAATCAATACAAAGGAATATCTAATATACACAATGCACTGTATTTACAATTTTTAATGTAGCCCATATACTAAAAAACTAAAACTATCAAGTATAATATTTTAATACAATGACAATGTGATATATCATATTATTTGGGATCAGTAAATGTCTTATTTTCTCCTACATTTTCCAAATTTTGGTAGACGGTTCCACTATTAATAATAAATATTGTTAAGTACATTAAAAACCAAAAGGGGAAACAAACAATGAACTTACTATTATTTAAATGATTGGTTTCCAGGCATTAGACAAAAACAGATACATCTGATCCATAAGGCTGTGTGAAGACAACTGACTTGTTACAATTCATTTTACAATGCGATGTGACTATACTACCACATCTGTTCGGCATCTGTTTCAAGGTTTTGTAAAAATGATATCAATCCACCCCTCATGTAGCTTCAGTCTGACCCTGGATAAAATCATTGGAAGCATTGTATGATATTTTGGTGTGTAGCATCCAGGAGCTAAACTGCATGTGAGTGGTGCTCTGTAAAGCGCAAATGCAAATGCATATAATCTGGCTGCTTTACACAATTCAAATATTTCTGCCATGGAAGCTATCCCATATTTGACAGTACAGTGCTTCTGTTGGCAATATGCAAATATGAATTTATATTCAAATAAACAATACCAATCATATCATTTTTTTCACATGTAGTATAAAAATTTGTAATGAGATACTTAAAATTAATATTTTAATAAAACTGCATTAATTAATTTAAATTATGTTAAAATATGAAAATAATCACAAAATATGTATTTTTATTTTACAAAATACAAGGAAAGCTGTGCTTCCACAGATGACATGCCATGTAAAATATCATCTTATTTTATCTTATTGTAAGCTACTGGATTAAACTGGCAGTTAACAGTACAGTTCAAAATTTGAAATATTTTTCTGGCCATACCCCTACTTTATGGTTGTCACAGTGTAAATGCAGCTTAACTCTTTGGTGGTTTAATGCAGAAAAAGCCAGAGCAAATGAACATTAAGGTAAAGAGTAAATTGAAAATTACCTAGATTTGATATGTGATTATTAAAGACCACCCTTTTTATAAAAGTTCTGGTCCTTCTTTCAGTCAGCCTTGGTGTGATAAGCCCTGCAAATAATGTTATACCCTATTTGTTGGGTTATCTAATTCTGTCTAATGAAAAATAGTAGCCATCACATTACATGGGTTGTTTGTAAATGTGACAGAAAGGATTCCTCCTTAAAACACAGCCTCATGGACATTGTGGTTGAATTTTCTGGATTGTGATAATCAAGTTATGTAAGTCAACAGTGTCTTAAAATTTCAATAAACTTTAAAAAGTTAATATTACCCTAAGATTTTCAATTATCTGCTTTTTCTGAATGGTGTTGGCATGCAATTTGATAAACATCAAGTCAATACTTCTCTGTATTTGAATAAAAAATGAAGACTGTAAATAAGTTGAATAGAAGAATTTAGGGAAATTTGAGGGTTCTGAAAAAAAACAAAAAAAATCATTAAATTATGTTTATTAAAAAGTTCATATATTTTTTTATAACAACAATTTTAAATTTTATGCTATAATTTAATAAGAGTAGTCAGTAAATGACATTATTGCACAAGTTTGGCTGAAAGCATGTGGAATGGTAAATTCACATGGATACCAACAAGAAAAGGCACAAAAAAGCTTCATTATTTATATTTTATTGTGTTAACTAAGTTTCAAATAATAGTTTTAAATCATCATTTTGCAAGCACTTATTTATTGTATGAATAATTAACTAGCTAGTGGATAAGAAAAATAAAGAACAAATTATGTACAGTACAAAGTGTATAAAAGGAAAAAAATCTAAATGCAAGCAAAGTACAGAGCAAACAGACTGTAATAGCACTAGATTTTTTATTCTGGGAGAGCAGAAGTGGGGAAAAAAATTTTTTTTTCAGTGTTGTAGATGTTATCTGCACATTTTATTATCAAACAAATTTATTTTTAAAATTTAATGATTGATTTTCAGTAAGATACGTAAGTGGAAAAAATTTTGTGAAAGCATGTAAATTAATTGGCAAACAATCAATTCATATTTAAAGAAACTCCTCCAAATAATGGTCAATATAGATAAATTTGAATAAATTATTTCAGGATGGGTTAATGGGTGGATAAGGAGATTTTTGAGTGAGTTGGCAGTTATCACACCACCTTAGTACCATCTATGCAAACAAATTTTAAGTGTGCCTAATCAGTCTTACTTGTTCCATCACATTAGGGAGTTTCTGTATTCGTGGGTTTCAAAGAATATTACTAGAGATTACTATGAGGATTACTAAATTTGCAGACTGTACACATAAACAAGGCTTCTTAATTTGGTAAACTCTAAGCCCTGGCTATGCCTGTGTGACTTATTTTTTTACTAAAATAAAAACTGCAATAAAAATGTAAATCATTTTTGTATTGCCTGTCCAATTGTTTATTTCTTCATTCATACTTTTTACCCTCTGGATCTTCTCCATTTCCCTACTGACAGTGTTGCTGACTTCATAACTCTGCAAGTTATATAGGAATATTTCATGCATTTTCTGTTTAGAAAGATTCATAGTATAGCCACATCTATGTGTAAGCTATGTCTTATTTTACAATCCATTATACTAATCTTTTCTAATATGTCTAGTGCTGCATGTGAAACACAGGTCATTGGGAGTCTTATCCTCTTCACATATCTACATCTAAATAAAGACCAGATTCCCATAGAAAGTTCTCCAAGGGAAAATTGCCTTGACAGATCATTCATGTGATGCATTCCATATCCACCAACCAAACCAAACTCTTCTTTTTTTCAAAGAATTCCAGCATTATTTAAAAACTGAACATGTATGTGTAAAGGCTGATCTACACAATACAATTACAGTGAACATTTTGTTGTAGAAACCATAAAATGCATGGATTTGTCTCATTTGAATAAACATGTGACTAATTGGCAATCTTCGTTTGACAAGTTGCAACAGTGTCATAGAAATGTGTGTCAGATCTTTTGCTTGTTGTGACAACACCAAACCAATCGATGAAGAAATCAGAATAACCCATTAGATCATATTCCTATCATTCTCAAGAGAAATGAATGCAGAGGTGGAAGTTGGGGTTATACACATGTCTCCCAGGCTTTGATGTTCTTTATCAATGCACTCCATCCTCCAGGTTCTACATATTTGTGAAATGAAAAAAATAATGAGTTGTTTTACTAGGATTAATTTTAGATACCATCTTTTGAAGTATGATTCAAGTTTCTCATATTATTATTTATATATCATCATCAATAGATAAGGAGTTGTGTTTCTTTACTTTTGTGAAACCACCGGAAGGGGGTAGGTCTCCCAATCCGGCAACAGATTGTTAAACCCTTTCACTGTCAGAATGGGTGGTTGAAGGGTTCTTTTTCCCGTTGTAACGGGTCGAGTGGCGGAGGGAGGAGCGCGTCGGTGAGACGACAGGCAATATACGAGAAAACGAGGAGGCCAGATATAACATAAGGAAAAGTAACAATTTATTAAACTGAGTAATACAACGTATAGTTCGCGTCCCTAAAACACGGGGAGACCGAGAGAGAGCTTACAATAATTGGTTCCATACCTCTTGATCTGTTATCCACGCTACTCTTTGAATTAGGAAAATTTCTCTTCTAGGAAAGTTCACTGATGTAGGAAAGGTCACTGTTTAACTATTTGAATCCTGGATTTAGGGAAGTTCACTAGACAAAAAGGACACTATTTGAAATTGGTCTTCTTCCGGCACCTGCTCTGGTACGACTCCCCCGAGAAGGGGAAGGAAGGGGTTTTTATAAGTTCGGCGTGGGAGAATGGTCACGTGATTGATTGTTGTGAGGTAAAAGGTATGTAGATGGGTCAGAGTTGTTCCCGGGACCATGCTAACTATCAACTTTGGCGTTGGAATGTGGGATTAGTTTCGAATTTAACGGATGTTTATGTCTAATGTAAACGAAAAGTTTTTTTTTTCGTTAGGTTTCACTTTAGGTTAAAGGAAAATTTAATTAGATTTTAAGCGAATACGGGACAATTAATCGACAAATAGTTGGCAAAAAAATTCCGGATTTCACACTTTCTTGTCTATTATAACAGAGGGAAAGTGTGACAATGTGGCAAAAAATAAACTTTCAAATTTTTACATTTTTTAGACTTAGGAAACCTGAAATGTCAAGAAATGCAAACAAATTTGGGGGTAATTTCTGTATATATGGATGTGTGTGTGGGGAAGCACGATTTTGTTCACCCTCTTTGAAGATTAATAACTCCTGTCTTTTGGTTGAAAATTTCTGAAATTTGGCAGGGAGGTTTGTTTATTAGGGGAATTGATGCTATTAAATTTTGGTGATTAAAGGTCAAAGGAGTGGGAAGATAATGGGGGTCATGTGTATCTCCAGTAGGTTCAGACTTAATGACAATTCTACTCGTTATTAGCATTTACAATTTTTTATAAAACCCATCCCACCCTCAAAAGTAAGCTTTTTGCTATTTTATAATAGTTAAAAATATAAAACGTTTTTAAAATAAAATATGATATCAGATAGCATCACAAAAATTTTAATATATTACCAGCAGGGCTGTGGAGTCGTGTAAAAATCTACCGACTCCAACTCCGACTTTTCCTTACCATCCAACTCCAACTCCGACCAGGGGCGGACTTGTTACCAAAAGAGACCCAGAAATTCTGATGTCATCACATGACCTCAGAATAAAAGATTCAATAAATAGAGTTCTAATAAAGATAAAACATAGAAACTTTTTATTCCAAAGCTATAAGACTCCTCTAAGTAATATATAAATATGTACAGTATTCGATAATTTTTACTTTTCTGGCTGTTATATATAACAGATGGAAGTGTATCACTCGGTCAAAAAATGACCCCTCCCAAATTTTTACATTTTTGGACTCAATTCAGAACACCTTGAAATTTCAAGATATACAAAAGATTTGAGGTTTTTTCTATATGTGTGGATGTTAGACTGTGTTTGTGGGGCATGATTTTGTTCACTCTGTTTGAAGCCTAATAATTTCTGTGGTGAGAGTGGTCAGAATCGGAGTCAGATGGTTTAATACAAGAGTTAGTTATTAAGTGTCAAAGTGGTTGAACTAAATCATGTCCCCATATACATTATAATATCTTAGGCGAGAACATCTTAACGGGTTTTACTGTACTATTATAAAATAACAAAAAAGCTTACTTTTAGGGTAGAGATGACTTTTTATTTTATTATTATCTTTTTAATTTTGAACGCTAATAATGAGTAAAATATTCATTAAGAGATATGACACATGACCACTTTTATGTCTTCACCCTGTCGACCTTTAGTTAAGAACCAAAATTTAATAATATTAATGCCCCTTTATACGCAAGCTACAGTGCCATATTTCGTCTCTTAAACTTTACCCATTCTGAGATATTGTTAATTAATATCTCAGAACAAAAAATAAAGAAATTAAACAAATTAGATGCCAACACACACACTCGCGTGTATTTTTCCCCTTTTATTGACTTTTTGAGGATTTTGGGAGGTCTCGAAATGTGTAGATTTACAAAAGAAACTTGGAGGGTCAAATTTGACATGATTCCAATACTTTTCCTTTTTATATATATTAAAAGTTGGGAAGTAAAAAGGAGTCGGAGTCGGCGGATTTTTTGACGACTCCGACTCAAACATCAAAACTCCACGACTCTGACTATGACTCCACAGCCCTGATTAACAGGAAATTTGAGCAACTCATCACTGGTTTATTTTATTATTCCTTTTTCCTCATAAGAAGTTAACCATTAACTATAATTATTTTCATTCCCATTAGTTTGCTTTTCTTTGTTATCTATTTTTGTCTCATTCTATCCTGTGTCCACTAAGAAGGCACTCCCATCGTTGCCTGGCCACAATGGTAACAGGATGATGAGGGACAGAGCTTGATAAATCTGGACTAAACAGACCATGAAAAATTCCTGGAAATTTTTTACCCTTCCAGATTTGTTCTTGGATTTCCTAGAACATATGGCTGACACCTTAACCATTTGGCCACCCAGCATCAATACCAATATGTTTAACGAAGCTTCTGATAACCTAACAGCTGCTTTAAAAACAAAGATCTTTGTTGATAATTAAATATTCTGAGATCCTAGCTTAGAATTCAAGAATTCAGATGTAAAGACGTCAATTCTATAAATGAATATGTAAGCAGGCTCTAAAATATTAGTAATTAGTCTAGCAGATAGACTTATAATTTTAAATATCTAGTACAAAAATTAGCAGACACTGTTCATGTCATATGTACTGATTTTGTAAAATTCATATTATATTGTAACCAGAGGACACTAGGATCTAGATATATATCTGGGACACCATGTGTCTAGCACCCACTTCATATGGACTTGTGTTAGTAAAGGTGACAAACTTAGCATAGTCAATGATGAAAATATCACATTTTTACTTCCTGCAGAATTTGAATCTATCATATAGGAATTGAGATAACCCAAACAAACTTTTAAGTGATATTGTAAAAATATTTGCAAAAAGGGTTAAAGTGTACCTAGGTAACCCCAATAGCAGTGCTTCCGACTGTTCGTGCTCCCGACAAACTCCTCCTGGAGAGGAACCACTGGTAGGCTGCCGAGTGTTTTAACATCACTAGTTATTGATTCACGGTAGTTCTTGAACATAATAAAAAAAAGGAAACATCTACTAAAAATATGGTTAATCTAACCTAACCAAAGTGCCACCTTTGGGATTACCTAGGTACACTTTAACTGTAAAAAGAATATGGACAATGGTGTATTTTGTGAGTTTCTGCTTTAACTACCGAAAATGTTATAGCTATTTCAATGTTAAACAAAGCATGTTGCAAAACAGAAAATAGTCTGTCATAATTATCACAAAAAGTCATATTCAGTTTATATGATATAAGATAAGAGCAACTAAGTTTTTAAGCAAAATAAGTAAATTTAAATAAAATGACATAAATGAAAAATATTTGAGTACATTATTATTATTTTTTTTAAATATTCTACATGTTAGTACACTTATTTCACATATTTGAATTATAAATACAAGAATTATAAATTAAAATCCTTGTATTGATGATAAATTAAAGAGTTGTTTTCTACCAGCTATAAATTGTTATAAAATAATATAAATTTTTTAATGATTTTAAAGCCAAAGATTGTTATACAATTATTAAATCCATTAAAACAACATATGTAAAGCAAAAATACATATTATGGTACTATTAATAGCACAATTGTAAAAACATGTGTCAAATAGATTTTTGTTTTAATATCATTCATTTAAAATTTCGTATCATTGCATGCTTACAATATTAAAGACTAAATGATAAAAAAACACTTGTTTTATACAAACTTCTAGACAAATTACCGGTACACATAAACACCATTGCTAAACCTTTACTTCGTTTGTGTTTTCAATCTTTTATAAGATTGAAAATGTTTGTTCATTTTTGTAATATGTCTTACAGGAAGTGAAAGTTCAGCAGTGGTGTTCACTTGTTTTATATTATATTATAATAATTTTTTAAAATATATCATAATATTAAATTTAAAAAAGTTCTAACCTTCACTTCGTACATCACTTAAAGACCCATAAAGCATATTTGTTCTGAAATTTGTGCAACAGCTTCTCACTTTATATTTCAATACTTTTGAATTTGGATCACATTCAGAAAATATAACTGCCTGTATCCGGAACATATGTAATTCATTCTTATAACGAAGATATTTTTCTAAATCATCTTCGGTTTCGAATCCTTTAAACACTGTTAAAGAAATTTAGAAAGGAAATAAAATTTAAATAAAAATATCTTTTAAAAATAAATGGTTTTATTTAATACTATATAATATGCAGGCAATTAATCAACATTTAATTTCTCAAGTCCTTTCAATCCTTCTTGTATAATACAGTTTTACATTTTTATAATTTCACGATATTCGATGAATCTGAAGATGATTCTTTAAAAGAACTGATAGGACTTGCTTAAAACATAAACAAATGCTGGGAAATTAAAGGTGGATTAGTTATTTATGGTAAATATTCCAGTTAATTTATTACTTATAATATGTAGGTTATAAAAAATGATATACCATAGAACTTGGATAATTCAAATTTGTAGTTAATTAGAATGTTTTCTCCAGACTCTTGAATTTGCTACAGGAGTAATGTAAAAATTACCCTTTAATTAAAATCACAATAAACCAAGACATATATTAGAGTATGAAATACATCTTAGTGTATTATGATTCAAAGTACAGTTATGAGAATTTTACAAAATACCACCTTAATCTTCCAACCAGTATTGGTTATGTTTATTGGAAGATTCCAGAATATAGTAATCAGCATGTTTCTTAGCTAAAAATTACTTAAAAGTTTGATTTTTAGTTTTAAGGAGAGGGAGATTAAGAATTAGAGCAAATCATAGAACATGGAAAATATAGCTGAAGTTTCTGATCACTTAATTAGTTTCTATTTCAAGGGTACATGGCCAGTAAGTACAGACAGTGCTTTCTACATTAATGTTTTTCCACTAGATAAATTTGCTAGCATGTTCAAATACTGTATTGTTTGGTACAGTATACATACATCATTTTAAATTAAAATTACAACTAAGTCAATATTTCATAAATATAATTGCTGTTTTCCAATCTCTCATCAACCCCACTTCTCTCCAAATTGTTACAGCAACTAAATAAAAAAAAAAAGGATGAAAGGATGCCTAGTGTTTGATTAATTGCACTTTACAGTACAGTAAGACCCCGCTTAACGCTGATTCAATATAACGGCGTTTGCTCGAAGCCTAGAAAAAAAAAGCTCAAAATTTACAGCAATTATTGTGGCATTTTATTGATTCGTAAATAATACGATTATTTACAAACACGAACCAATCAAAAAAAGGTGGCAAATAAATGTACTTTCTTTAAATCTATGTTTGTTTGGTGCAATTTTGGAAAAAATATAACATCATGGATGCCGTAGACAATATCGGCTTTGCTTGGCAAGAATTAACCAATAAATGCACGAAGTGTGGAAGAAGTTATAGCTGAAGGTATCCAAGAATTCTCAATGGGAAGTGCCTATCGCTGTATCATTAGGTTGACCAAACTCAACCTAATCGATACAGCAGGACTAGGAGATATAGACAAACAGGATATTGAGGAGTTACCGCAGGTTTCTGGTGAGTCTTATCAACGACGACCTTCAAGAACTGGCAGAACAAGGAATCCATGTAGAATTGGAAAATATTGATTCTGAAAACGAAGAACCCAAAAAATTTCTCTACAGATTTCCTTAGTAAAAGTTTGGTAACCATAACCGAAATCGTGATCGAATTGTAGCGAATGATCCAGACTTTGAAAGGAGTGCAAAAGCAAAACAAGGCATTTTGGATGAGATCTTCTGCTACCGGCATTTGCTTAAGGAAAGAAAAAAATGACAAATGAAACTTCACGACTTTATTGCAATAAAACAAGAATTTCAGGACTTTCGTCACAAAAACTGAACTAATTAATATATTATACATTTCTGTGTGCATATGTTTATGTGTTACTTAACATACATTATTATACAAATAATTTAAAAGTAAAATTTTTAAATTTTCGGTCGCGTGTTCCCCTATCCATACTTACTCTATGTTAAAATGATCTCGTTTAACGCTTTGTCGTCTTTGAACGCATCCCGGCGGGGTCTTACTGTACTTAATCAACAAACACGTGGTGATGGTGGCGACCCATTTCTCTCCCACGTGCCCACCAGCTGGCTCTACAAGAATCACGTCGGAACTCATATTTCAGGCATACGAGCACGAGGAAGGCACTACACATGCCAGCCCATCCACGAGGCCCTCCCTCGACCATACATGCAGCGCGCCCAATATTTTGTAATGTATGAATTTCGTTCTGGCATGTTACGGCACGATCATTAAATGTAATTTATAATTAAAAAAATATAATTATAAATTACATTTAATGATCGCGCCGAAAATCTTGGAAATATTTTTAATCGTAATTTACATATTGAGGAGGAAGAGTAGCATAAAAAGGAAGGTCAACCCGACAGTAAGGACGAAGAAAGTGATGAAGAGTCCGAATTACCATCCAACGAATCACTGTCATCACCTAGAATTTCCTTCTTAATTTCTTTATATATATATATATATATAGCCTAGATCAGGGCTTCTTAAACTATGGGTCGTGACCCCATTTCGGGTCGCGAGATTTTAACGCAAAATATTGAAAATAATTTGTGAGAGTTTGAAAATGGCGCGCTTTGTGTCACTTCTGGTGCAGCGAGAGAACGATTCAGCAACACTGATTGTAGTATGAACAATTTTTCAGTGTGTTCAGTTGTCTCTATTCCATTGTAACGCAAGAGTGAACTGTGGTAGTACACCATTATTGTTTTTTCAAATTTGTATATACCAGTAGACTCCCTATAACACTGTAGATAATTCCGTGTTATGTGAATTCCATGTTGTATGAGTCACTTAGATTTTACAAATATGTGAGCCGTTCACAGCCCGGCACACGTATTTGTAAACCTCTAAGTGACTCGTACAACATGGAATTCACATAACACGGAATTATCTACAGTGTTATAGGGGGGGGTCTACTGTATCTTTATTTTATATTGTTTGGGTCGCGAAAAAATTCACAGTCATAAATGGGGTCGTGAATAAAAAAAGTTTAAGAAGCCCTACCCTAGACCATTACTGACGTGCAATTGACTGATTGCCCCTGGATGTCGGCTTCTTACAGAAACACAGCTTCCCTATCGTCAAATGTCACGGCACTCCACTGCCACATTGGAAAGTTGACATCTTTTAATTAACATAGACACGATGATAAATGTTTAAAAAAACTAAAAACACAAACAGCATAGAATACTTACTTGAATATGGATTTGAGAACGCATCTTTGACGAATTTCGTGCAGGAAGACGTATTTGGTGCATAATAAAGGTCATATGGCCAATTATATGGATTTAAATCGTATGGCTCGTAAAAGATTTCGTGCTTATGTAATATATTTTCTGAATTAATGGAACCATTATATTTAAATAAATTAAAAGCTCGAAGAGTAGAACTGTCGTACGTTAACCATGCCGGGATACAAAGAGGTAATATAAACTCGAAAAATGTCAAAATATAATGCCTCCGATGGAAACGCCAATCTTTCCATATTAGAGTTAGCAAAGGCCGACATACTCCACCCATCTTTCTACGCAAACTAAAATTATTTTTAACATAAATAAAATTTATTGTGTTGAGTAATGATACAAATTACAAATATGATTTATTAAAAGAAAACCAATATATACTGTAAGACTTATCTGTTATGTAAAACTGATACAGGATGTTTATGCGATATTATTACATTAAATAGCATATAGAACAAAAGTAATAATAAGTTATCTATTACATTTTAAAACACGTAACGGGATCCGATATTTTAAAATTAAATTGAGTAATTTAGAAGTTTACAACGTTCCAGTTTCTTTTTATTTATAATCGAATCAACGTTTAAAATTGTCATATAGATTCCTATAACTTCGATATACTTAAAATTAAGTAAGATAAATGGTATAAGGTAACGCAACACGAGCCAAAAGTTCCACGTGTTGCGTTATTTCGGCCAGCCTATTGTTAGGCACAAATTCGCGATCAACTACTAGTGTTCGCTGCTGGATTTAGACTCTTTTGTGTTCTTAAGCTATAATATTAAACTTCTTCTACACCAGATAATGATGCGGGAAAATTGTGAGTACAGCTCATAACTCAAGACCTAAGCCGCAGTTTATTGAACCTACTGTATTTCCGCGTATATAAGAGCCAATTTGTTTTGGCTTATAAGAGCATTTGTTGAGCACTGTTGTGTCAATGTAAATTAAATGTAAATATATCGGGAAACTCTCTAGTCTCCATCAGTCGACATGGCGGAGTGTATTTTGCTTTCATATATATTGTAAGCCTGTGTTTCTTAGCAATTTTGCGTGTTTTGTTGTTGCATCATCGAAGCTTGAACTACAAAATGAGGTATAGTTTATGCTGATGGAACAATTCATTACTGTATAATAAAGCGATTAAAATCATCCTACTGGGCGGGTGATCTATTCTGTCAGTAGGATGTTGTCCATTCTATCATTGCCCCCTATAACACTGTTGATTTTTCCGTTTTATACGAATTCCATGTTGTACGAGTCACTTAGATTTTACAGATACGTGTGCCGGGCTGTGAACGGCTTACGTATTTGTAAAATTCAAGTGACTCGTACAACATGGAATTCATATAAAACGGAAAAATCAACAGTGTTATAGGGGAGTAGACTTGTAATCTTTATTTTTTTCATTTTATTCTAACAAATGGGGGGAGGCAAAATGATGAATTACGAATTTAATAACCATTTTAAATTATCACTAGATGAATAATTTGATTTTTAAATTACTGCATAAAAAGCATATATTAACATAATTAACCAGATCAGGCTTAGTTTATTTGTTTATGGCAACGCTAAACATGAGTGATGTGCAGAGGGAGGATGTCTCCCGGGAGGTCTTTTATGGGAAACTGGCACCTATTTAAGTGTTACAAACAGAAACTCCACGTGGCCAGCACGTTGGTGAGGCGCGAACCCACGACAAACTACCACTGTTTAGTGATTTTGGCCATTGGTGGGCGAATTTCAAACGTATATTATGTAATCATAAATATGCAAACAATGCAATTTTTATTAAATTGTCTTAGTTTTCTCGATATTTTGAGAAATGAGCAGTATAACAATACAGAATTCACATACATTTATTTCCTTTCAATTTTAACGCGTAATTGCCTAAAGATTATTTATTTTAAAAGCTTGTCGTTTAATGCTTCTCATTAAAATGAATTGTTGGTTCATATAAAAATTAGTCATTCTTTTAGTGTTTTGGAAGAAATTGCAATATCATAATACGTTGCAAAACGTTGGTAATGATAATTATGATAAGGCTTTTTGGAATTATTTAAGATTTTGAAATATTGTGAGAAATTTCTTGATATAAAGCATAAAATTGAAAATTATGATTCTATTTGTATCTTATGTTTTTTAAAAAAAATTGTTGAATAAAATTATATATCAATATTTAAAATTAATGAATCATTTAAGTAATTGTATATTTAAGGATCAACATTGGTTTGTTTCTGGTATATCAACTGAAAGAAATTTAATATCGTTTTTTAGGATTAAGTTACAAAAAATATTGATTCAAGATTGTAAACAGATGCTATTTATTTGGATGTAAAGAAAGATTGATACTGTTTCTTATAAGTTGTTTGGAATAAATCACATAAATTGGATTTAAGAGATTGGAATCTTTTTTGGTTTACATCACACTATATTCCCGGCTGTTAACAGGAGGAAAGTATGGCGATGGTCAAATATCTTAATGATTTTTACATTTTTGGACTCTGTGACTTTGAAACGTAAATTCTAATCATGTTTTATGAAATCAACCATGTATCCGACCCAATACGTCGTACCAATGTGTTATGGACTTGACCCCGGGTCCCACGCCAGATATTTGCAATGAAGGCGTGCTCCCGGGCCCGAGAATATTCTTACGAATTATAGAAACGACGAGCCGAAAGTTCGTATCAAGAAATTCTAAATGATATATTGTGATGTAATATCAATGCCCTTATATTTTAATTAACAAATCTTTATACCTACTGTCTCGTGCTATTTTACCACAATACCTATAACACAGCATTCCTGTAACTATACCAATTTTCATATTATATATCTTTTTTCCAATATCACATCTTATTTTCTGGATGTTGTTTTGGATCGCTTATCGTCTTACATTTTAGTCAATTCTTTCTTATATGGCCGATTGCAGATCTTTGCGTTAATCAGAAGAAACTGTAATTACGTTTTATTATAAATTCGAACTGTGAGTGATTAATTCTTAATCACTCACAGTTCGAATTTCTTAATCAAATATAAGTACGATAGTAGAAATCACACTAGATTACATTAATGTTTTAATTAAAATAGAGATAAAAGTATAGCTCTTACAATACTTGAAATTATCTTTATTGTTGTCATAAGTATTGTTTCTTTAATAATAAGAGTCGAAACAATTGTTGGGATAATTTTTTAATTCTTAAATTTTTTATGTCAAACATTACGAGATATATGAATATTATTTTTTCATTTTAAAATTACTGTAATTATATAAGCTATTTATATAATTCAGTGTTAAGCTATGTACCGGTATCTTTTGTGGTGGTATTCCTAATTGCATTAGAATGACAATACATTTTTTAAAAACCACCAAACATCGGTAGTTAGTCGTGGGTTCAGGCATGGTCGACCACGTGGAGTTTCCGAGTTTTCTTCACGTTAGTAACACCTAAATAGCGTCCAGCTTACCATAAATTCTTCCCGGGATTCATTCCTTTCTGCAGATTGCTCACGTGTCACGTTTCCGTAACCAAATAAATCACACTAACTCTAACAATCGATTGTTTATTGTGACATGGTCACATTGCCGGGCTGCAATTGTTTCGTCACGATGTTCTTAATTCTTTTAGCGGTGTCTTTCGCCCGTACATCATACTTTTCCTGTTAGCAATAAGAATCGTGCCGGTTATCTAACTTTTTAGGGGAAATTTTTGAATTGACGTAACGTAACTTCCGGTTTGCATCGGAAGTTCCTCTATAGTTAATCGGTGCCTCCTGTCCCGAGATTTCCATATTAGTCTCGACTTTCATTTCATTTACGTTTGTAGATCTGCAGCACATAATTTTTACTAAACAAACGTTTTTGTTAAATACACCTTTATCATTGGCGAGAAAGTTTAATTAAAACAAACGTTTTCGACCTATTCCATAGGCCCTTTGCCTGAGACTGATCGAACTTCGTGACACGGTGCTACTCAAACTGTGGTCTGCGGATATTTAAACTGAATTTTAAAGTAATTTGATTCTGTTCTCTTTTTAACAAGTTAATCTCGAAAAATAAAATCGTCCTTGTCAAATCTTAACTCGTGAATTTCGTTATAGAATGTTACGGTGTTACGGAAGCGTAACTCGAGCAAAGTTCGGGTTGCCCCCCAAGAAGTAGTCACGTGTTAGCAATAAAGGCTAATTCTGCTAATTTCGAACTCGTTTCTACATTCTGGCGAGAAGCGCGCTGTCGGACGCAACAACGGGTATTTGTAATAGTAGTTTCAACATGGGCTCGGATAGTTCCGTTTTAGTGTCCATTATGTGGTTTTATGAATGAAAAATTACAAGTTGTGAAAGCGCACGTCAATATATTATATATATACCCGGTGTAATTGGTAAGTGTCGTCTCGAGTTTTTTTTTCATAACTACTAAAATACTATTCGAAGGCTTTTTTTAATATTTTGTCTCTAAAAACGCATGTTTTAAAATTATAGATCCCGCCATCACGATACTGTCGATATTACGGACGTCGCCATCTTTTTTTTTTTTCTCTGTCCGTTGTTCGCTACGTCTACGAACGATCGCTATTAACGAACGCACTGTACTCTATCACGTGACTCAAGGTATAGTTGTCCGGAAATGCGTCAGAGCCGTAGTCACGTGACCACCTCGCTCCGTCGTCACCACTCACGTGACTGGATGGCGTTTAACCGAGGTCACGTGACACAATTTGTAAGCGTCCTCCGTCCAACGTGCTACTCCGCGATGTGAACAAGGTTAAGCAATGGCGGCCTCCACCGTGCACAGTTGGTAAGTAATCCGATGAGTTTTCGCTTATAGCTCTTAATATACGCGTCTCCCCCAAATAATTCTATTTGTTTAGGACACGTCTATTAGAGAGGTGTCTAAAGAGAGCAAAATTAGAAAAAAGGGCCCATGCAATAAGGATAAACTTTTACCACACAATACTTACAGAACTCAAAATCGTGAGTAACCACAGTGTTTGCGGCACCTGTGCCATAAAATTTTTGTGGCACTGCTTTATGGCAAGGGTGCCGCAAACACTGTGTTTATTCACGATTTTGAGTTCCGTAAGTGTAGTATTATAGGTATAGTCAATCACAAATGTATTTATGTCACTGGCAGAATAAGAAGCCAAGAAATGGTGGAAATGTTAATAGTTCTCACAGTGGCGGATTAAAGAATTTTGGACCCGGTTTGAGAGTCGAAGGCCGGTCGCTAAAGAAACGTGACGTAGAATCGGTGTGGACCGATTTTTAAATTAAGGCCACTTTCCACCGTGCCACTACCGCCGACATTTTGTCACACCCGAAAAATGAGGCTTGTCCGCTATTCGGATGCATTGGATAATTTCGAATCGTCCCGACTCGCGAGCGTGCGCCGAAGCATTCTTTCCTCTGGAATGGTAAGAACACGATCCAACACGTGGTTCTGATTTCGTCATCGATTCGACGAGCGAAAAATCTGATGGATTAGATTTTTTTTCCAGGCCGCCGTGACTTGCGTAATCAAAATCATCAATACAAATCCATGTGTATTGCCATTTCGAGTGATAAAACGTTGACGATAGTTGTATCGTGTAAACCGTGGTGCAAGAAAATAAGGTGTTCCGTTCCGCATTCTTCGTGACTTCGCCTACGAACAGAATGACGACCAGCGCTAACAAATGGCTTGTTAAATTCAGCGCTGCAATCACTGCTGAAGGTATTTTAACAATGCACGCGGAGCAGTGATGCAAGACCGAAATAGCGGATCTGGGTGAAGTTGTTTGAATGTTTTGCGAATTGTTTAATTCGAAACATTTTAAAAGTAATTCATTTTTGCAATGTAAGGCTGTTTGGGAGGTAAAATTAACGATTTAAATTCAATGTATGAAGCTTCTTTTGCGACATAAAGCAGATTTTAAACAAGTTTCGTGAAATATTTTACTAATGAGTATTTGGTAAATGTTTACGTTAAGGGAACACGCGTTTTGTATTATTATTAGAGGAGAAGGTGGTATTATGGAACACTGCGGGTATTATGGAACCACCCCATTTCGAACTGATAATAAAGGCGAACTGCAGCGGAATGTGGCTGAACTGAACTAGGCAGACATCCATAGCAAGGAAAAAACCCGTTTTACTTCAGTTAAATGGTTGTTCGCATTTAATCAGCAAATTTGTTTTTTTCAAAATTCGCAAGTTTTGAATGCTAAGTGAATTTAATTATTTTTAAAATATAAATCGTGAAGTTGTAGGTTCACTGGTGCATGTATTCCGTTCCAGAGACTTAGGGGTACATATTAATCTGTGTGATGTTCACGTTTTTTAAAATTTGGTCTTGACAGACATAAGTTAATTCGAGATGGCGATGCGTGAAATACGGACCCCATTGGTGCTTTTACAGTAATATGGAACTCAACTCCTTCGAACTTTCTATTTGCAAGCACACATTCCTCCGGAGCAATTTGTGAAAAAGACACTAGGTAGAAAGTCAATTCTTCCTGAGAATATCGAAAAAAAAGCTGCTGGAATATATATTGTCGATGGAGGTCATATTTTTCCATTATAAATGCATTTTTGCGATAAAATACATTGGAATAAATAATTTTGTAATTATTTAACATTTTTTGTCCTTTCCTATTTGTTTTTGGCTACATTAAAGCATTATTTTGAAAATATACAGTAAGGTTCCATATTACCACCCGATTTTCTCTAAGCCTACTTTCGGACTTTTTGTACAAAAGCCTTCAAAAACCATACTTATAATTACGCTAGCGAAAAATCCAATTAGGAACATTTAGTTTACTAGTTACCAGTACTTTTTGCACAAAAAATGTGGGTGTAGTTATGATACCTTGTTTACAATTCACTATAATGTAATTGGGGTTCCATAATATCACCTTCTCCTCTATTATTTTTTTTTTAAGGTGGCATATTTAATAGATATTTGCAAAACAGGTGAGCAGATAATGAATTTGTGAGAATTGGTTCGATGTGTCTTCCATCTATTAAACTGTCTCTATACAAAAAGCCATGATCCAAGAAATGGTTCCTTGCCTACTTAAGATGTGGTATATCACCAAAAAAGCAAATTTTTCTTCTTAGATCACAAGGAATACACATAACATCGACAAATATATTAATCGCATTATCGTGGGATACCTATATTTACGGGTTATGCGGGATATGGCTATTTACGGGTTACCTATAGTAGGTAACCTGTAAATAGTGGAAACTTGTCTACTACGGCAGAGTTGTTCGGTTTCGTGTGGTTCCGTTATAGACAGGTTTGACTGTATTTGATTTCCTCTAGGTGGTTCCACTTCCTGGTTCTTCCACCATGGATGACAGAACCTTGCCCTTCATCTAAAAAGTACAGTTGGATAGTCAACAGACAGGGGAATGCCATTAGCTTCTTAGAACAGAAGGAACTGCTGAACCAGAGGCTGCCCTAGGAAGATTTTGAGGTGATGCAAGATCTCATTATGGTGTCACCCCATAGAGACTAAATTGTACGTAGAAATTACAGATACATTTTTCACATTATCATGCTTTACCAACATTCTATGCTGTACTTAAGGTATTTGTAATGGAGGGTTAACTAAATGCACAGTGAATTGACCATTTTTTTTTTGGCATCAGGATTTTTCATCAAGCTATTTGGACTTGAGTAGCTAATATTGAAAGATTAATCGCAAGCCACATAAATTCATTAGACGGGCCGTACGTTGCCATGCCTGGGATATGGACTATATTTTGTTTTTAATTCTTCCAAGCCCACATATACCACGACTTCACACCAAAATTATCACTTTTACCTTTACCCATGACTTTCAAATAGCCAGTTGATCTCAAATGGTTGACTGGGTACCGGCTCTTTTAACTTTGTTTTCCATCCAGTTTTGGCAAACTTTTTCTCTCGACATACCAGAACAACCAAATACATTTGATTTTTGGTAAATACTACCTCTTGTTAATTAAAAAATATTCTCTTTTATTTAAAAATCTTTTTCCCTTTAATACAAAAAGGTCCCGGTAGATGGTGGATTGTTATCTTCAACAGGCATGTGACAAAAGGCATTGGAGAGAGAGAAGAAATAGAATATCGTGCAGTTTCTTCTTCCAGCCATCTGGATACTGGCATCTGGGTGGCCTAAAGAAGTCTGACTACACGGTCTCTGCTGCTTAGTTATTTTCTGTCACCAACATTCTCATCCAAAGCCCACATAAAGAGTTAACTGTTTTCCCACCTCCTTCTGCACTATCGTTTTTGGTTGTATCTTCTTTGCTGTCATCGACTCAATACTGTAGTATTCATCACCCAGAAATGGAAATACGATTAATGAGGAGTTTAGATCCGGGTAGGTTCCAGCCGAGTCTCCATCCCCGATTGACAGACTGAGACTCTCCAGATTTCCACTTTCTCGGTGCCCTGAAAAAAAAAAAAATCTGTCTTGTACTTTTGATCACACTGGCAAATTATCCCAATCTTTCCTGCCCACATAAGAAAAAGAAAAAAGCCCAGTATAGAGAGTAGGATGATAATTAACTCCACCTGGTTGTTAAGAGTCAAGCCTCCCATTTATATATATATATATATATATACACACACACAGTAGATACAGTCAAACTTGTCTATAACGGAACCTGTATATAGCAAAAACCTGTCATTAACAGAAAATTTCTTCGGTCCCTTGAATTTTTTGCAAAAATTAATTTAAATTAACCCTTGTATAGCAGAATCTCTCCAACATGGAAAGGGAAAGGAAAATGGGCCATATAACAGAAAAATCAGTATCTTTATCCGATTTAACACAAATATAATAAGAAGTTTATGAGCCTAGCATGTATAAATCATAAAAAAGTAAAAAAAAAACACACACACACACACACACCCAATACAGAATAGCAAAATACCACTACTGTATTAAAGTAATTTTATTGGGATTTGAACGGAAAGTTTATGCGTATTTTTATTAACAGCTGTTTTAACATAACATAAATACCTGATGTAATTATAAGTTGTGAAATTTAACACATTATTTCCCATGTGAAACTGAATTCTTTGTTTCCAAGCTTATTTTAACTTTATTACATCTCATTTCGTTTGAATAAAATCGAGTCAAAATGTCTGCAGATAAAATGCACATCGGGCATATTATGCATGCTTTTAAAGTTTGGTAACGAATATCACCCTATACAAACAGTAAAAAAGTACCTGTACCAAGTACGGGGAAGGTGTTTCTAAACTTGGAATATGTCAAATGTGTTTTTGAAAGTTTCGTTTGGGAAATTATAAACTAAAGGACACAAAACATACGTGTTCCCAAAAGCCGTCGAAGAGAAATTGCAGGAAGAAATTGTTAAAGATGGACGAATAACATCCATGTGAATTTGAAACAAATCTTGGTGTGTCACGGACAAGTATCGTTGAAACACTTCAATTTGGTTCATTTTTACATAAGTGAAAAAAAAAAAAACCTAACTGAGTATAATTTTGTGGGACGAAGGTAGGCAGCTGTAAGGTTTTATTTTATTTTCAAATTGGTTACTCATTTTTACAGACAAATTAAAAAATTGAAGTTCAAATAAAAATTTGTTCTAACGGTTGGTAATCATTCAGTTGAGTACCCAGGTACCACTGTATTTGATTAACTCGATTTTGATATACACATAACATCGACAAATATATTAATCGCATTATCGTGGGATACCTATATTTACGGGTTATGCGGGATATGGCTATTTACGGGTTACCTATAGTAGGTAACCTGTAAATAGTGGAAACTTGTCTACTACGGCAGAGTTGTTCGGTTTCATGTGGTTCCGTTATAGACAGGTTTGACTGTATTTGATTTCCTCTAGGTAGTTCCACTTCCTGGTTCTTCCACCATGGATGACAAAACCTTGCCCTTCATCTAAAAAGTACAGTTGGATAGTCAACAGACAGGAGAATGCCATTAGCTTCTTAGAACAGAAGGAACTGCCTTCATTTATTTTGTTTCATTTATTTTGTTGGTTAGAAAACCAACAAAATAAATGAAAAATAGCAGCAAGCCAATTAAAACTAATTTTATTTTTTCTGAAAATTTATTAAAAAATGATTAAAGAAACAGTTCAGAGAGATAGAAAAGAGGCCTTCAATCTGATTTCCTTTTCTAGACCATTTCTCCTTCCTTTTCATATAAAAAGAGATGATGTTTTCTGTTGTAAATATAAATTATTTTTTTGTCTTTATCATTCAAGACAGATACATGAGTGACAAAAGATTTGTGAAGAATTGAAATGAAAAAAAACTGGTTTATGAATTTTACTGCCTTGCTCACTAAGTATTAGTGTATGCAGTTTATTCATATTAAACCACAAAAGATGTATCTTAAAGACAAAGAGACAATAAAATATCACTTCTATAAGAAGCATCAGGAATGTAACATTGTGTCTTTATTGAGATTATAACTAAATATTAAAGAAATGAAATGATTGAGGCAAAAATGTCCAGGGATTATTCTGTAAATAAATAATAATGAAAAAGTCTCTACATGAAATACTAATTGCTATGAAAATCTATTGACCCATCCATGTTTGGTTTAAAAAAAATGCGGTGTCCTAAATGTTTCTGTTATTAAAAAGAGCCCAAATGACAATTACCTTTATTTGTGAGATGATCCCTTTGATGGTATCGGCCTGATGGGGCCGTTTGGTCAGCAGACACAAGAAGCCTCCTCCTCCCGCTCCCACCAGGCATTGACCATAAGCCAGAGATTGCAGTTTATCTGTCATGTTTCCCACCAAGTCGGGTCGACTGCCCGGGGCCAGCCACTGCTTTTGCTCCCAGTAGACATTCATCAGATGGCCAATCTTCTCCAAGTCCCCTGGAAAGAAATGTTCAACAAATAAAATGATATCTTATGCCTTGTAGCCTTTAATAAATTTTGCACCAAAATAGATCTTTTCAACTCTGTCATCTATTCTGAGAAAATAGACTAGTAGCATCTTGGAAATATCAGGTTGATTAAAAAATTTCCAGATACAGACACAAGATACAAAACTATTCATATTAAAATTCAAAAACATGGTCATTTCCTGAAATAAAGGCCATTACATTGTTAGCTATGGTCCTGACCCATATTTCTGCAAGTTGGTGGATTCCTCAGTAATTCCACTTGGCTGGTTTTTATGCCAAAAATTCGTGAAACCCATTTTTGACATCATGCATTGTATTGAAGGAACATCCTCACAGAAAATGTGCCAACGACCAGAAGAGGTGGAAATCTAATGACGTGAGGCAAAACTTGGATAAACTGGAAGGGATCGAACTTTTCTTGGACCACTCTGGAACTCTGTGCCAGAGCATTATCATGCTGCAGCAGTGTACGCTTTCAATTAAGCAATGTTAGATAGCTATGAAGCAGGACTTCAAACACCCAATCCAGTTGCTCAGCATAGAGGTTGCTGTCTACAGCCTGGCTCGTAATTTTGTGGATTTGATACTTTGTTTTACTAAAGTATAGTATAATTTAATTTTATTTAATTATAATTTTATGGATTTTATCCATTAACTTAAAGTTCTGCATGGAATCTACAATGTGTTGAGAAAGTAAAAAAAAAAGGGAAGAAGATTATTATTATTGTTACTACTACTATTAATATTGCTGTTACTGTTTTAATTTAAATAATTTTAATGTTTTTTAATTATGATACTTGTGTGTGGATATTTCCCCACAGAGGGCGCTCTGGCTGTATGTATAAAAAACCAGAACCCTTTGTGTCAGACCCCTCTCCTTTCCTTTGTCTTGTGTGTAAATGAAGACACGTGAAAAATAAAAGCTCAACAGTAAAACAATAAAGTCTAGTTCTTTGTCCCTAAAATTTGAACACATTATGGGCCCAGGTTTCTCTTGCTGAAAAAAAAAGAATAAAGAAAAAAGAAAAGTAAAATAATTGAAAAGAAAGAAATGGAAGGAACAAACATGAATGTTGAAGATTTTGCTCAAATTGAAAAGCTGGCTGATGTTGCTGACTTCCAGGTATGGAAATTTCAAGTAACTATCTTATTTAAAGCAAATGGGCTGCATAGTGTAGTATCAGGGGAAAAAAAATTTGAAGATCAAAAACTTGAAGAAAAATCAAGTTGGTTAAAAAAGGATGCAAGTGCTCAGAAAATTATAACTACTACAATCAGTAAAAAATTACTTATGCACATAATAAATTGTTCAACAGCAAAAGAAATGTTTGATAAAATGTGTCTGTTGTTCAGCAGAGACACTGAACAAGAGAAGTGCCAGCTCATGCAGCAATTCTTCTCATATACCTATGAAAGAGGAACCGATATTGCTTTACATATAAGCAATCTTGAAAATCTTGCTTTTAGATTAAAATCCGTAAATCAGCAAATAGATGATCACATGATAATTTCAAAAATTTTATCAACGTTGCCAGACCATTTCAAATACTTTGGAACAGCCTGGGAATCAACTCCATCTGAAGAAAGAACTCTAACAAATTTAACAGCAAGACTGATGGCAGAAGAAAAGAAATTAAAACAAAATGAAACTTTAGATGCAGTTGCCTTCAAATCAGCAGAAAGAAGATGCTTTAACTGCAAAAGCATATCTCATCTCTCTCAATCCTACCCGAAACAACGACCTCTCTCGCAGAAACGATGTTTTATTTGTAATGCTGAAGGTCACCAAGTGAAAAATTGTCCTAACAAAACCAAACCACAGATAACATGCAGAATATGTAAAAAAGGTAACCACATTGACAAAGACTGTTACTTCCGGGCAAGAACTAAATGGTGTGGTGTTTGTAAGAAGAACAACCATGCTGAAGAGGACTGTTATTTTAGACCTAAAATAAACCCTAATACATTCAACAGAAGAAGTAGCAAAGAGAAAGTGTCCTTCTTGGCACAGTCAAATAGAAACTTAAGAGATACAGAATTTGTGGTTGATTCAGGATGTACAGCACATATGACAAATGACATTTCTCTATTAAAAAGTTTTTTCAAAAATACAAAGAGTGTGATGGTAGCAAAGGACTCTGAATCAATGAAGGCATATGGAGTAGGAAGAATTGAAGGTGAAGATTTTATACTTGAAAAGACATTGTATGTGCCTGATTTATGTACAAACTTGTTGTCAGTTAATGCTGTCACTGAAAATGATGGTGAAGTCACATTTACTAAAGATAAAGTTATCATCACAAGAGATGATGATATTGTCTGTGAGGGTATAAAGCAAGAAAATGGACTTTATACAGTTGCTCTGGAAACAACAAGTAAGGATAGCTCTATGATAGTCCACAGCAAGTTTAAAGCAATCAATAACAGACGTATAACAAAAAACTCTGAAGCTCAACTTTGGCATGCAAGACTGGGTCATCCCGGAATTAGCACTTTAAAGAAAACAATTAACCTAGTTGATGGAATAAACATATCCTTGAAAGATTGTGAGGAACTAGATCATACATGCCAAACATGTATCAAAGCCAAGCAAACACGACTACCTTTCGATAAGGAAAGACAAAGGGCAGAACGAGCTCTGCAGATCCTACATACTGATGTGTGTGGCCCTGTAGAACCTAAAACATGGGATGAGAAGAAATACTTCTTAACAATTATGGATGACTACACCCATTATGCAGTAGTATATCTGCTGAAAAACAAATTTGAAGCCTCTGAATACATTAAAGAATTTGTACTAGAAGCAGAAGCTTTTCAAAACCTAAAAGTTTCAAAATTGAGATGTGACAATGGAGGAGAATACTCAAGCAATGAGTTTAAGCATTGGTGTAAAAACAAAGGAATTGTTCTTGATTATAGCATTCCCCATACACCTCAACTGAATGGAAAATCTGAAAGGCTTAATCGTACAATTATGGAGAAAGCCAGAGCACTACTATATGAATCAAGGGCTGAAGAAAAGCTTTGGGGAGAGGCTGTTAGAAGCTCAGTTTATCTTCTTAATCGTTGCCATTCTGACACAGTAGAAGTAACACCTGCTGAAAAATGGTATAAAAGAAGGCCAGATATGTCAAACATAAAAGTATTTGGTTGTGAAGCTTACACCAAAGTGCTAGGACACACAAAAAAAACTTGAGTCTAGGAGTAAAAGACTGATCTTCATAGGATATGCTCCAAATGGATTCCGTCTGTGGGATCCAGACAAACAGAAAGTCATTATTGCTAGAGATGTAGTGTTTAATGAACACGGAAGAGAAATAGCCAGAGAAAAAAATGAAGAAGTGTACATAAGATTAAGGGAAGAAACAGAAAATAAAGAAGGACAAGATACAGAGGAAGTGCAGGAAACTCAAGAACTGACAGATGATGAAATTGAAGAGGAAATCCCTGAACAAATAGAAGTTGGAGAAAGAAAAACAAAAAGAGTAAGAAAAATTCCCAGCAAGTATCATGATTATGTTCTGATGACATATCAAGAAGCAATTGCTGGAGATGAAAAAGATAAATGGATTGCAGCAATCAAGGAAGAAAAGGAATCATTAAATAAAAACAATACTTGGGAACTAGTTAATGAAAATGAAGCCAAAGGAAAACGAGTCTTAACAAACAAATGGATATTTAGGAAAAAAGAAGATGGGCTATACAAAGCAAGGTTAGTAGTTCGTGGGTGTGAGCAAAAGAACACACTGGATATTGAAGAAATATTTAGTCCTGTAGTAAATGCCAGCTCTCTCAGAGTTATTTTTGCATTGGCAACTCAGAAAAATTATTCAATGATCAAATTCGATGTCAAGACTGCTTTCCTGTATGGTGAAATTCGTGAAGAGGTATTTATGAAAGTACCTCAAGGCTATAATGAACGAGGAAAGATCTGCAAGTTGAACAAAGCATTGTATGGTCTCAAACAAGCACCTGTAACTTGGAACAGGAAATTTACCTCAGTTATGAAAACTAAAGGAATGATGCCAACAGCTACAGAAAAATGCATTTTCAAGAATAATAATGGTTCTATTATATTAGCAATATATGTTGATGATGGAATAGTAATAGGAGAAGACATATCTGAGTTAAGAGACCTAGTAAAAAGGCTTGAAGAAGAATTTGAAATTAAAAAAGACGACGATCCAACATCCTTTCTGGGAATGGAAATACATAAAAATGAAAATGGAATAAAATTGACTCAGAGCAAATACTTAAAAACAACACTTGAAAAATTCAACATGGAAAATGCAAAAATGGTAACCACTCCTGAATTGAAAAATATTGATAGAGGTGTAGAACCAGAAAAGAAGTTTCCATATAGAGAAGCTATTGGAAGTTTACTCTATCTTTCTACCAGAACACGTCCTGATATTGCTCATTCAGTTAACATAGCAAGCAGATACATTGAAAATCCCATGAAGGAAGATATAATTGCTTTGAAAAGAATAATGAAATATTTGGTAGGGACAACTGAAAAGGGAATACAATATAATTGAGACACTGATATCAGAAATAGTCAAGTGAAGAATTAAAAAAACTCTAAAATTAGGGGAAGGTGTTGAGAAAGTAAAAAAAAAAGGGAAGAAGATTATTATTATTGTTACTACTACTATTAATATTGCTGTTACTGTTTTAATTTAAATAATTTTAATGTTTTTTAATTATGATACTTATGTGTGGATATTTCCCCACAGAGGGCGCTCTGGCTGTATGTATAAAAAACCAGAACCCTTTGTGTCAGACCCCTCTCCTTTCCTTTGTCTTGTGTGTAAATGAAGACACGTGAAAAATAAAAGCTCAACAGTAAAACAATAAAGTCTAGTTCTTTGTCCCTAAAATTTGAACACAATGTACATACTGTTGTTTGTTTACATTTCCTGTATTTTATTTCCTTGGTAGTGCTCATAGCGGAGCCAAAGTATGCATTTATGCCTCCATAAATAAATTGAATTGAATTGTCTACAGCCTGGCCACTAGGAACCAGCTCCCAATGCACTGGACCATCCAAATTCCACCAAATGCACAGCATGACTTTCTGTTTGAACTGTCATTATTGAACCACTTGTGCTGGCACTTTCATCTGGTCAGAGCCACTGGTTTCCTCTGTTAGGATTTCTAAAAAAGATCCATTTTTCATCTCCTGTTATGATATTGTCATCTTTTGAATTTTGCAACATATGATTGCAAACTTGTATCCTTATGTGCCTACTGCTCTATCAGTTCATAGGGTAACTCTTGAGATCTGCTGCTGCTAAAGCCAAAGTGTTTCAAATGCTGAACAATGGTTGATTGTGAAGCTAAGTTTGGCAGATAGTTGGTGAGTGCTGCTGCCTGGCTCCTACTGAACAGTTTCAAACAGTACTTTGTCATCAATGGTCATCCAGACCAAGGTTGGTCTATGAGGCTGTGTTTCCAGAGTTGAAGCAGTGGAACCATTCAGCTGCAGTTGTCTTGCTAATTAGGCCTCGGCCTTCAATTTTGCAAATTTTCTCTGTTGTCATCCTAGCAGTGAACCCTTGTTTCCGGTAATGATGCAAGATGCATGAAATGATAAGTTTTTGTCAGTCATTCGTTCTTATAGAAAATAACTTTTTCCGAATGAATGAACTCAACAGCTCTATAAAATGACAGTATGTGCTTTGATGATTACGCAGATACCAACTCTGCATTCACAGCAGTGTTGTCGGTGCTAGAGATGTTTTCAAAAAAATGTTGTCAGTGTCTGAGAACTTTTGAATCACCATGATAATTGACTAAGAACAGAAAATACTTCTGATGATCTCTTATGTACAAATTCCATATTCCAGTGATTATAATTCTGTAATTTCATAAGGGGCTGACAAATCTGGAACTATAGACATAATTGTGTTTTCTCTCAATTATATTCTTAATCTTTTTGTTTTCACTTTTGTTCATTTATATTCTCTAAAAATATCAAAACAAAAAGAAATTAACTGCAACTTAACATAGAAAGCATAATTTCTTCAGCATAATTTTATACAAAAAAAAAAACTCCCATGGTTTAAATTAAATTTGGCCAAGACGACACCTTACAGATTTAAAAACTGACTGGGTTGTTCATTTTCTATGTGTTTGGGTCCTCCAACCATTGCAACTTCCGTTAAAATGAAGAAATGGAACAGGATCACACATCTTTGTTAATTTATTAAGGGAAAGGTTGAAAAGATGACAAAAGTAAAACTTACCAGAATGAAAGGCTTCAAACATGCGAGAAGAGTTTTGAAGAAGAGAGTGGAAACAGTGGACCACCTTCTGTTCTCGGGCATACCAGTTCCTTATCACATTCTTAAAGAAAAAAAGTTAGAAAATTCTCCACAAAATAATTATAAATATATTTCCATAATTAAAATATTTTGATCACCCTCAAATCGTGCCAACTGCCAAATGACTAGGGCATTTGACAATGCCTTAGTCAACTAGAGCTTTGTTGACTTTAAAATTAATAAAACTGTCAACATTTGAAAATGCATTTGGATAATCAAGAAAACCAAACACTTTTTCAAAAATCAATTGACAGAGACAACCAATGTAAAGAAAGATGAGTTGAAAATTAAGACTAAAAGTGGTCCTCCAGGAACATCAGCCTTCTGGCACTCCAAGAGGGAATTAGTATCTTCTTCTCTGATAGAATTCAAATCATCATAGGTAAATGGACCCTCTGTCACCAATGATCATGATGGCTTTAAATTATATAAGTGGAACAATAGTGGAATATGGATTTCCTCTGTCTCTGATACAAATGCCTGAAGAAATAGGGACTGTTCCTTAATTTAAAGATGACAACCGTGAATGTTATTTTAATATAGTTTTTCATAGGACTTTATTAGAAAGTTTTAAACTGTTTTGAAAATTAATAAAATTAAATTTTGAAAATATACATAAATAAGGACACATTTATTGTTCAGATTATATTTATTGTGCAAATTTCTTCTTGGTTAGGAAACAGAATCTCTTGGAATATTCTTTTCCTTACTCAGAAATATTAATATGGAGAGTTGGAACTTGATCTGCACAATTTTATTATAAATAGGATATACCAGATTTTAGATATTTTAAAACTTTTCACACACAGATTGTTGTCATCTTTCAAAAGTGAGAAAAATATAGAATTGTGAGAGGCTACTGGTTATCTTTCCATTCAAATAAAGAAAATACGTGACTAAATACACCATTCACCTGCAAGAGATTTTTGGCCAGTCGAACTTTTCCCGTGTAGATTAGAAGGAAGTGGTCCTCAAATCTCTTTAGAAATTCTTCACTAATCTGGGCCTCTTCCACCAGAACTCGCAGCGGGAGACCTGGTTCAGATAGTCCCCTCTTGATTCCTCCTACTATTCCACCTACCTGGTCCTGCCATCCTCCACCTGTGGTCAGCAACTGCTCCAACTGAAGCACCTGTAAAGGAGATAAATGCATTTCAGTGATAAAGGGAAATGCCACATTAAAAGGCAACTTAAATGAAGGAAGATACCGCATGTATCAGAGACTCGTGGCAGTAAGAGCGTCCAGTGACGGTCCACAGAGCGGCCAGGATGGCCGAAGCCATGATACTGCTGGTTCCCATACCTAAATACAATTATTACTTGTAAATACTTTTGAATGCTTTAGATATTTCTTGCTTTCTTCATCACAAATAAGTTACTTATCTTGATGTGACCTAAATTTGGCTAATTTTTCCAGATTTTTTATATCTTGTAAGTCAAGTGATGAAAACCGAGTCAGAGATCAGATCCAAAAAATACTTAGGCCACATCAAGATATATTAATCACAGAGAAGAAGTAAAAATATTTATAAGTTACTTATGATCATTTTTCAATGCCAAACTAATGAAAATATTAGTCAAAAGGATCTCAGAATATTACTAGACATTGAGTACCAGCTAAATTTGGCTAATTTTTCCAGACTTTTTATATCTTGTAAGTCAAGTGATGAAAACCAAGTCAGAGATCAGATCCAAAAAATACTTAGGCCACATCAAGATATATTAATCACAGAGAAGAAGTAAAAATATTTATAAGTTACTTATGATCATTTTTCAATGCCAAACTAATGAAAATATTAGTCAAAAGGATCTCAGAATATTACTAGACATTGAGTACCAGCTAAATTTGGCTAATTTTTCCAGACTTTTTATATCTTGTAAGTCAAGTGATGAAAACCAAGTCAGAGATCAGATCCAAAAAATACTTAGGCCACATCAAGATATATTAATCACAGAGAAGAAGTAAAAATATTTATAAGTTACTTATGATCATTTTTCANCCGAATTTACTTGTCACTAGGCTAAACCACAAATAACCATTCCCAGTTCTGTATTTTATTTATAAATGCATTTTTAATAATATATGATTAATAAGAATCTATTTTAAGCTTACAAACAAATAAATTTTAGTTTTTAATATAGTACAGGAAAAAAATTAATCTAAATTTATGAATACATGTACAGTACATACATACTTGTAAATATACATGTTTACAATTTGGCAATGTTTACAGTACATTGCAGACTCTTTATTTGTGAATGTGGTTTGCTCTAAGACATTTTAATAATATATGGTTAGTTAATAAGAATCTATTTTAAGCTTACAAACAAATAAATTTTAGTTTTTAATATAGTACAGAAATAAAAGTAATCTAAATTTACGAATACATGTACAGTACATACATACTTGTAAGTATACATGTTTACAATTTGGCAATGTTTACAGTACATTGCATACTCTTTATTTGTGAATGTGGTTTGCTTTAAGACATTATAAAATAAGATGATTCTGTAAGGTTAAATAACAAATAGTTATTAAAATTATTTTGCAATAGTTGAAAATAAATTAATTTATGTTAAATTTACCAATATCAAGTGGCACTGACAACAACACCAAACAGTAGATATTGGAACTACTGTGGAAAATGCCAATATTGAGCTCTTAAAGACCGCTAAATAAGACGACAATACAGAGTCACAGATGTTTTCATATTTCGTTCTCTAGTATTTATGATGGTTATATTAATATTTACTGTAAATGTATGTATTTTAATATGATTTTATGTGCTTTTAACACTTTTCTAGTGATATTACAACTTCAATATTTGTGATGGAGAGAGATAAAGTTGAATAAAATGACTCAAACTTGATTTTTATTTTTCCATATATATATATTTTTTGACAAATGACATATAATTGAGAATGACTTAACTCGAAATGACATAACCCAAGTTATATACCTGTACACTCATTATGATAGAAATTAGTGCACCAAGAAGGAGTTATCTTATCACTGTGAAACTTAGCATGCAAATAAATCTCAAGAAGATATGGAAACAATTAGAGTTATAGTATGATGGCTTGTTGCATAATGCCAGCAGAAGACATCAAAGTGAGTCTCCCTATTAAAAATGCATGCAAAGGCATCCTGTCTGTAGTTTACCTGTTACAGAGGGATGCTGTATCACTAGAGATGCCTTTAGGTCACAATTGAAAACCATACGAACAACTAACTGAGTTTGAAAGGAGAAAGATCATGAGGTTGAGAGAAACTGGATGGTCATCAGCCGAATAGCCTGCCACCTAGGCCATTTTGACAACACTGTAAGGTAGTGTTGGGACCAGAGGATGAGAGGCAGTTCACACACACAATGCCCAGGCTAAGGGATACCTTTGGCAGACTACTAGCTGAGAGGATTGCTTGGTCCTCCAACAAACAAACAAACACACACACAGCCAACCATATTGTTTCTGCCATCTGGACACAGGCAGAGCAATCATTACAGCCCCATGTCTGTCTCTGTTCGTACCATTTCAAAGGTGCTTGGGTGAAAAACATTTGGTATAACAGCAGCCATTATGTGCGCTGCCATTGACACCACCTACCGTCACTTCAGTTTGGAGTGGTGTCACTCCCAGTGGGATTGGACCACAATGGAATGGAACCAGATCATCTACAATGACAAATTCAGATTCAGTTTGGGCACTGACAACAACCATTTCAAAGGTGCTTGGGTGAAAAACATTTGGTATAACAGCAGCCATTATGTGCGCTGCCATTGACACCACCTACCGTCACTTCAGTTTGGAGTGGTGTCACTCCCAGTGGGATTGGACCACAATGGAATGGAACCAGATCATCTACAATGACAAATTCAGATTCAGTTTGGGCACTGACAACAACCATTTCAAAGGTGCTTGGGTGAAAAACATTTGGTATAACAGCAGCCATTATGTGCGCTGCCATTNTCACAAAAATTTCGGAGACTAGAACGGATTAATTGCATTTGCATTAATTTCTATGGGAAAAATTGCTTCGGTTAATGAACGGAGTCGCGGAACAGATTAAGTTCGTTAACTGGAGTTCCACTGTATTGAGCTCTTAAAGACCGCTAAATAAGATGACAATACAGAGTCACAGATGTTTTCATATTTCGTTCTCTAGTATTTATGATAGTTATATTAACATTTACTGTAAATGTATGTATTTTAATATGATTTTATGTGCATCACAAATATTGAAGTCGTAATATCACTAGAAAAGTGTTACTTTTCTAGTGATATTACAACTTCAATATTTGTGATGGAGAGACATAAAGTTGAATAAAATGACTTAAACTTGGTTTTTATTTTTCCATATATATATTTTTTTTTGACAAATGACATATAATTGAGAATGACTTAACTCAAAATGACGTAACCCAAGTTATATACCTGTACACTCATTATGATAGAAATTAGTGCACCAAGAAGGAGTTATCTTATCACTGTGAAACTTAGCATGCAAATAAATCTGAAGCAGATATGGAAACAATTAGAGTTATAGTGTGATGGCTCATTGCATAATGCCAGCAGAGGGCATCAAAGTGAATCTCCCTATTAAAAATGCATGCAAAGGCATCCTGTCTGTAGTTTACCTGTTACAGAGGGATGCTTTATCACTAGAGATGCCTTTAGGTCACAATTGAAAACCATATGAACAACTAACTGAGTTTGAAAGGAGAAAGATCATGAGGTTGAGAGAAGCTGGATGGTCATCAGCCGAATAGCCTGCCACCTAGGCCATTTTGACAACACTGTGAGGTAGTGTTGTCAAAATGGAGAGAGACAGTTCACACACACAATGCCCAGGCTAAGGGACACCCTTGATAGACTACTAGCTGAGAGGACTGCTTGATCCTCCAACAAACAAACAAACACACACACACACAGCCAACCATATTGTTTCTGCAATCTAGACACAGGCGGAGCAATCATTACAGCCCCATGTCTGTCTCTGTTCGTACCATTTCAAAGGTGCTTGGGTGAAAAACATTTGGTATAACAGCAGCCATTACGTGCACTGTCATTGGCATCGCCCACCATCACCTCAGTTTGGAGTGGTGTCACTCCCAGTGGGATTGGACCACAATGGAATGGAACCAGATCATCTACAATGACAAATTCAGATTCAGTTTGGGCACCGACAACAACCGTGTTTGTCTGGAGGCCCCATGGTAAACATCTCAATCCTGCCTACATTTTGGAGTGTTACACTGCCCCCACATCTGGTATGATAGTCTGGAGTGCCATCACATACAATAGCCAGTCACCTCTAGTATTGATCAAAGGGACCACAATAGCCCAGCAGTATGTTAGTGACATCTTGTAGCCACATGTGTTGCCTCTCGTGGCAGGACTCTCAAGAGCCATTTCCAACAGGACAATGCACACACAGCAAGGGTGTCACAAAACTTTCTCCAGCACATTGCCACAGCCTGCCTGGTTCCCTGATTTGTCACCAATCAAACATGTCTGGGATCACCTATGATGCCAAGCTGGACAGCCTAGGAGTTTGGCCAAACTAGAGAACCGCTTGCAGCAACTCTGGACAGAGATGTCACAGGACATCATAGCACATCTGTATGCCTCCATGCCCTCCTGTATCACATCATGTATTCATGCTATAGGTGGCCCAACATAGTACTAGAATCTCCTTTCATTTGTAGTTTTTCCTGCAATAAATTATCCTTTTGCTTTCATTTTGTAATCACTTACTTTATCACTGTTACACTCACACATGTACAATTTCATTTGATTCTGACAACTCCTTCTTGTTGGTGTTAATTTTCATGGCAATGAGTGTAGTATGCAGTTTAGAGGGCATTCTTTTAAGCAGGAACCACTAAAATTCCATTAAGTGTCAAATATACAAATTGACCACTGAATGACATTTGCTATTGTTTCATTTCATTTTTATTTTACTTATTTAAATTGTAAATTAAAAAGAACAGAAGTTTAATATCCATAAAACCAATAACACAAATGCAGTACCACAACTTTTACTGGTTGTAAAAAAATAAAATAGACAATACTAACAGTCTGCTTCTAAACACTTTTCTTCAGGAGTTATTATATAGAGGGTAATAATTAGATGTTTCTTTTAAGATAGTTCAAGTAGGAGTGTGTAATAATATCAATTAAAACATGATTGATATACAGAAAATGAAAGGAAGAAGTAAAGGCCAAGCATTTGTGGTTTCCAGAAAAATCAGGACAGATAAAAGTATTTGTGGTGTACAGAAGATGTTTTTGTGCTTTGTTTAAATATTCCCAATAAGTTCAAACAAATGAAAAGTTATTTGCAGAGTTTGTTATTGTCAGAAATTGGTAGATAATTCATATAATTGCATAATTCTTAATAATGACTTTCAAATTGACTTTTAAAAACACGTAATTTGAGGTTCAACTATAGAAAATTACACAATACTCTGTTTTAAAAGAAGTTTGGAAATATTACACAATTATTTTAGTATCTCAAAAATAGTAAAGAGTTCTTAAGTAAGGAATAAAAATATGATTCTTTAAAAAACCAATTTTCTAAAATAAAATCACACAATAATCAAAGTAAGAGAGAGAGAGAGAGAATAATTTTGTCGAAAGGTATCATTTACCCGATCCTCGAGGAAGCAAAGACCAAGCTGCAATTCGAAATCCTCCTTCATATTTGCTTCTCAGTTGTTGGGACAGAGGAACTTCACTTTCCACTTCCACCAATCCGACATACACGACAGCAGCTTTCAATAATGCCGCTAAAATCAAATTATTGACAATTATTTTACAGTTCTATAATTAGGCAGACCTAGAATCGGCACTTAAACAGTTACGTCAATCAATTTTGCACTATAAACTTTATATAAACAAATAGTATATATTTACCTTCAGCATTTGGTTGGTTATAATCTAATAGCTGATCTACATGGTTGATGGTGAGGGTGGGTGCAGATTCATTTTCTCCCAAATTCATTATTATTTCTAAACTATAAAAGAGTTCTCTCTGTAAATAAAGCTGTGCTCAATATTAATTTAAAATAAATGAAACAAATCTTATTTAGAATCAGACTGTCTGGGTGCCCCAAAATACTTATTAGCACAGAAATTTGAATATATATTCTTCTTTAACTTTCCAGTCTTAAGGTTTAGACATATTAGTTCCATGCTATACATTTTTTCTAGTTAACATATCATTATTTGTGTACATATCTAGCTTTTCATTTACATACTTTCATCTTTCCCATCATTTTTCTTCCATATACGTGTAAGAAAACTTTTAGTATATTTTATAAAATAACACATTGGTATAATATCTCACATTTGGTTCACAAAATAAAAATCAATATGCATTGGGCCAGACTGACAAATAAGCACAAGCAAAAGCATGTGACCTGAGCTATCTTAGTGACAAGTTTCTGGTTATGAAGTGCATCAGAAAAATGCTGGTCAAAGAACAGACTTTACTCGAGCCACAACACTCTGACTTTTGGTTTAGATTTAACTGATGGCACCACCAATCAAAAAACAGAAAGAATAAAATACACTTCATTCTGTCTTTTTTTACATAGCATTTTGAAAAATTCTTAAGTTTTCCAGATACCTCCATACTGTTTCATAAAGTAAAATAAAAATCAAATGGCAAGACACTTTACATACATTATAATTTCTTCCTGAATAAATAAACAAAACACCAGTAATATCCAGCAAATAATATACTTAATAAAAGCAAAAGTTTGAAAATTTTTAAATTGTCATTATCAGGATAAAAAGCATCTGAACATATATATGAAAATTTGATCATCAAAGTGATGTTAAAATTTTCATATATTGCTATTTATGAATTACTAATGTCATTTCATTATTTATACTTAGTTAAATCCAGTTTCAAGTGTTGTATAGTTATCATTTTTCCAGAATGTTCTGAATATAAACATGTTTTGTTGTCACTTCTACTAAAGCAGTGCCTGTTAAAGTGTGTGAAAGATATGCCATTTTCCTCTTTTTGAATGAAAGGTTTGCATTTTTCTTTACTTTCTCTAGTACAGTAGTTCTATATTTTCTGGCTTAGTTGTCTGTGGGATCTTTAATGTTTTCCTATTTATTCTCATTTCAAAGGTTTCAATTCTAAGAATATAATCTATTACTAATGGAAGAGGCTATTTATCAAAATACGCTTATGAAATTGCTGTTATTTAGAAAAGCTGCCTAAAATCTTTATTTCTCCAGAGGGAAAAATTACTTATTTGTAGTAATATATCTAGAGATTTAAAGAATCCAGCAACAAGTTGCATAACTTTCCCAGAAAACAAATTTCATTCCAGAGATTTCATTTTTGTGACCAGAAAGAAAATGAAATCATTCCCACATATATTGCGGAATTAAGAAAATTATCAAGGAACTGCATACTTGACAAAAACTTGAATGAGGCTCTCTGCAATCAAATAGTATGTGGAATCCATGATGAAAATCTACAGCAAAAATTATTAAGCTCACTCGACCTAACCCTCACCATAGCTCAAGAAAAAGCAATTGCCCTCTAACTCCTGGTTTTCCCACCAATGAGACAGGAGGTCAGGTAAGAGAGACTGAGTGACAAGCTATGAGGAGTCACGCCTAGGAAGATAAAAGGAGAGAAAGGGTCAGTATAGACCACGTTCAAACAGTGACTTGAAACTAAGTGAGTCATTCCATACATGCTCAAGGACCTGCCTCAGCACATATTTAATGGTAACTGTTTGTTAATACCCTGGAAGTGAATAGATTGGATATTCACTGTCCACAAAGTGACCATAGTTGACATTACTCCAGTATCAGGACCCACTGATCTAAGCTACAGGTAGACCATCCTTCATCCTATCTTTTCTGTTTCTAGTTGTAAGCAGAATAGTATTATGTTTAAGTTGAATTGTCATTGTCTTAGTTTTAAGCTGAACTGTATATAAATCAATTGTTGTGGAAAGTTCAATTGAAAGCGGGAACTTAGTATATTAGTATATATATTATATAGAGGGTAATAATTAGATGTTTCTTTTAAGATAGTTCAAGTAGGAGTGTGTAATAATATCAATTAAAACATGATTGNATATATATATGTATATATATATACATATATATATACATATATACAGTGAGTGATCGGTTAACGAACAAATTGGATAACGAACACTTTCGCTAAAGATTTTTATGTTCGGACAATGAACACATGATCGGAAAACGAACACCTCACAGAACAAACACAATAAGAAGCAACGTAAAATAATGAATACCGATTGGTCTTCCCTCGTCTTCAGACAACAATTTGAAACTTTTTGGAGCGCGGGAGACGTCAACATCGACGCTCAATTCGGTATATACTGATCGGATAGTATTCCTTTGAACTTTGAAACTCTCCCTTGTTATTCCAGCCTTTTATTTTTCTGACGGAAACAATTTTTTGTAGTATTCGCAAGACTGTTGGGTGGGCACTCGTTAAGTTTTGCATCAGTTTTTATTTTCGAAAGGTGAGTGTATAATAGCAAAGGTACAGAGTGAGCAGATGTCTGATGTCTGTTGTTGCTGGACAGTATGGCTTGAACAGGTCTTGAAGTAGGCCACAGTTCAATCTTATCTAAGAAAGATACTGTATAATCAAGAAGACTCAAGCAGCTTAAGGAGTAACAAAAATCACATCTAAGAAATAAAGAACATTGAAAAGCTCATAATGGAACCTGAAACGAATCTGATGACAGAAAAACGCCAAGAACTCTTGAATGAAGAACGCCAAGAAACTCGGCAAGATATGTTTTCTTCTGAAAAAGGTTGAGGTTGGTTTCTTCCAAACCAGGTTGAGGTTAATAGGCTTAGGGATCTCTCAATTACAATGCCATTAATTGCTTCTGAAAAATCTTGAAGAAGAGGGAAAAGCAATCAACATTAGACAGATTTTTTAACCCCACAAATGGAAAAAAACATGACTAATAAAAATGCAAGACTGTTTATATATGTATTTTTATTATTACATATAAATAAATGTAGTAAAAAAGTATATATTTTTTGTTTTGGGGTCTCCAGAATGAATTAATCAAATTCCCATAAAAACCTAAGGCAAATCAATAATTGGTTAACGAACGATTTGGATGGCGAACAAAGTCTTGGAACGGATTATGTTCATTAATCAATCACCCACTGTATATATATACCTTTGTTCTCTGTAATGGGCAGTCCGACCTCTCTTATCTCATTTCGATCAATAAAATGTGATTGACTGTTATTTGCATTGTCTTATTGTCACGTGTTTTCCATCTTTTCACACAAGAAACAAAACAAAACCTGCAAGGAATATCAGGAAAAGAATTGTCCATAACATTTGCACAATTTTTGTTATACAACCAGATAACATCAAGTATCATAACTGGAAAATCACCAGCAGAATTGCTAATGAATTGACAACTATGGACAAGATTGAACGACATTCATCCAGATTCATTGTTGAAAGGTCAAGAAACAAATACAGACAATCCTACCTTTCAGGTTGGTGATTCCATATATACAAGAATCTATGGAAAGGAGACTGAGTCAAAGTAGTTGAAGGCAAACACAACAGAAAATATAGGCTTATTAATGTATTATGTGAAGCTAGAAGATGACCAGGTATTAAAAAGACATATCAACCAATTGAGACATTGTGCAACAGAAGTGTCACCAGGTATTGAAGATGCAATACAGACTACCAAAGAGCCACATACAACCATGAGGAAGAATCACAAGTGGAACACGGTTCAATGAAGATAGCAAACAGCCCACAAATGAAAACAAGGAACAAAGTCCAGTAAACATAAACACACCAACAGAACGTTTAGGACTCTCCACCTCAAAGGATACCTGTATATCACAAAGAGTGGCAGAATGGTAAAACCACCCACAAGACTGGGATCTGATTGACTTACATTAATTCTTAAAAAACTCATTGTACGTTTGTTATTTATGTTTCAGCCAAAAAACGGGAGTATTATGTACCCTACAGATATGAAAAAAGAATAGGCCTAATAATTTTATGTTATAATAATATAATTGTACTCTGACTACTAGAGGGAGCTATAAAAAAATGTATCATCATGATAATGGCAGATTAAAGCACATTTCTTACCTACTGAGTTGTAAGTTCTTTCAAAAGATGAACACAGCAATTACCACCCGTCTAAAGGAGCACCAACCCGATATATCAAAAAACCTATTAACCACCACCCTGTCAACATATGCCAGGAACCCTGATGTGATGGTCCATTTCAACAGGACCAAAATCATACAAAGAACAGTGGATAGATCACATATCAGATATCTGGAGTTAATGGAGATCTACAGAGTGACCCAAAAGTCAAAAGCCATCAACTATAAAGAGAATAATGCAATCCTTAACACGTGGAAAAAATATATAATTCAACAGAAACACATTCCATGTAGTTTGCCACGTACAAACATTCCACCAATCAACGTCTATAAACTATCCTCTAATCTACATAAAGTTTATGATCCATTCCAAAAAGTATGATTCGAACTTTAGAACACCAGCCTGAGGATGTCCTTTTATAAATGGATGAAAATGTTCACTTCTCAAAGTGAGTAGTTCTTTTTTTATCGCTGGTTCATTGGATTTGTGAAGCAGTGGATCTTTGATTAATATTAACCAGTATTGGAGTGTTGTTCTTATGAAAGGTTTGCATTTTTCTTTACTTTTTCTAGCAGTTCTGTATTTTCTGGCTTACTTGTCTCTGGGATCTTTAATGTTTTCTTACTTATCCACATTTCAAAGTTTCCAAATTGTTTGATTACATCTGCTTTTAATGTCCAATTTTCAAAACTGTACAGAAAGACTGACCATACATAAAATAAGGCTGTGTACAATAAAATATTAAGATTAATAGTGATTTGATAAAATAAGAGACATGAATTACATAAAATAACATGGATAGAAACATTAAAGCAAAGAAGAAATGCACTTAATTATTATTCAATACTATAAAGAATTTAATAAAGTTTGTTAAAATGGTTGCTAACCACCAATAGGAAATTGTACTTGAAGAAGAAGAAAAAATTATTGATGCTTATTGATTATATCTTACGTATTTCAGTTTACCAAAAGATTAATGCAATTTTAAAGCTGTAATGTATCATTGAAAGTTTTTGAATGTTTACTTGTTTGTTATTTGGCATTAAACATATCCTCATAAGGTAGTTTTTGTTAAATACCATATTCATGGTGTGTCATCCATATGTAATTTACATTAGCAATAGATTAATTTCTTACTGTACAGAAAAACTATATTTAAATAATTCAGTTTAAAAGTTAAAGTGACTTAATACTTAATGTTAAATGAATTAAAATGCTAAAATATTTACTGTATAAGAAATTAACTTACTCTGGTATTCTGCAAGCTTTAGCACCAATTGGTTTCTGAAAATGAATTTATTTGTTAAATAATAAATTGTATTTAAATATTTAAATTAAGAAGTTATTCTTCAAATGATAATTTTTACAAAATGTCTCAAATTTTTCTTTCAACTCTAAAAACATACTTTTCCGTCAATCAGCACTGCCACATTGACCACAGATCCACCCAATTCGTAACAAATAGGAGGAGTGTCGGACCAACCACCCTGGAGATCCACTCTGGCCGGACATTCTACCACCACATATTGATTGAATGGTAAAAGCGGAACTTTTGACAATTGAACAAACTAGAACCAACGAGAAATGAGATTATTATTTATCACATTCATTTTTACATAAACAAAACAGTTATAAACAATATATTAGAGCTTTCATATACAAGCAACCAAATATTTAAACCATTTATTTAAATTTGGTTCCAATAAAATTCTATCATTAAAAATTTCCATTATTACCATAGATATTAACTAAAATGCATTTTGGGATTCAAGTTCCCCGTTCAGTTAGTAATATTGTTGTGCATAAAACCAATATGCTTTAAAAAAATAAATTTTAGTTTCTTTTTGCTTTTTCTACCATCTTATCTTTTAACAGTCACACAAATCAGTCTTGTTTTAAAAAGGTTCCTCTAATCTAAGAACTTTCTCATATAAGTTCGTATAAATTTACATTATTATTTAATTAGTCATAAAAATGTATTATTCATATTTTTATACTTCTAAATTCTGATTTTAAACTAATATATTTACAAGACAAATATACTTTAAAACATTTTAAAAAAAATTCATGTAGTTATTATTATTTCTACAGTTTATTTTTTTACATCAAATTTAATCTGACAATTTTAACTTGTAAGAAATTATAAAATACAATTTTCAATATTTTATCCATATCATCATGTAAAATGTACATGCTACATGTTTTCTTTCAGGTAACTTATTTATAACAATTAATATGCATCACTTCATTCAAAAATCTCCTTTCCTAAGAATTCTTTCCTATAGTGTTTCTACTTATTCGTTTTACAGTATCCAAAAAATTTTTTTTTTTTTAATCAAATGCTTTATTAGTAGTAGGGTTTCTCCAACAAGATCCTAGCAAACCTGGGAAATCCCGCAAATTCCTTAAAAATTCACTTTTTTCTTATTGTGTTAAAGTTGAAAAAATTTTGCAAATAGAAAGTATAATTAACCTATAAACTGTCAGAATACATTTGTATTTATTAATTTTAAGCCTGCTTATTAGTTTTTTAAATTTTTGCTTATTATGGCATGTCACAGATTGTTAATAATCAATATGTAGTCTGTTTGTAGTAGGACTAAAAATTCTTTACTTGTTGGAACCTGTAATATCTAGAATAATTGTACTTATGCTGTCTTCATTTTTAACCATGCCCGGTAGCTTCGATAACTGCATTATGCCAGGTTGTGCAAGTTGGACAAGCATACAAACGAGTATGAAGCATGAAAGTATGAAGTTCTTCTTCATAAACCTGATCATTAAAGCCAAACAAACTGCCAAATTATTGGGCGATAAGCTTGAACCTGCTATTTAAAGCAGCCAAAGAAGACTAATCAAGAATACTAGATGGCAAAAGAAGTACTGCCACACATCTCGAAAGCAAACTAGAAATCTTCCAGGCTACGAGTGAGAAAACATGTAACGTCTGTTTCTCTTTGTGGCAGCCTAATAATTGTAACCTAGCTCTGCATCTGAAAATCCAGATGGAGCTATTAAAACATGTGCAGTCCATCCGCCATATTCTTTTTCTCTCTCTCGGCTACACTACTCATGACAAGTGAATGTTCTGTACCGACGCATGCTTCTAACCGATCGAACTTTACTCAATAAGTGTAAAACAAAATCTTGTACGTGATTGTATATAAATTTTCATGGTGAGATATAAAACTTTGGTTATTTTATAAAATCAATGAACACTCAAGTTAAGTGATGCATCAACCACCACACTCTTAAATGTGTTAAAGACAATTCCACCGAGAATGCCCTTTCTGATTCCACATTAATGGAATCAGAAAGGGCATTCTCGGTAGCAGGACTTTTCGTTACTAAAATAAGAACTAGATTGAGTGATTGGAGTATCGACCATCTTTGCTTTTTAAAATCTTATAAAAATTTACAATTATATTTTGTATTATGTTTTATTTAAAAACTGAAAATTACCTTCTAAGTTAGAAGCTTGATCAAAGTTCATTTTTTCTTTAAATTTTCGACTCAATTCAAAGGCTTTTATTTTGTAAGCATTTACAACAAACTTTAATAAATTTTTTCTATTTGTGAAAATTTCTACGTAATTCCAAGGTAATTTTTAATACATATTTTACACGGCATTATTAATATTATTATTTTGGAGGTGATGGGACATATTAACCCTGGGGTAATGCAGTGGGGTGTTTCGCCACCCCCAACGTTTTAAAAGTTGCACTATTCATAGATTTCGCAAGAAATATTTGTGTCCTCTTCAGTAGCTTCATGATTTTATGTATAGAGCATGCTCAGAAATTACTACAATGCTGCAAAAATTCCAGTAAGAGAAAAACAACAGTTCTCAATGGGGTGTCCAAACACCCGACAGTATTAATTACGTTTTTTTTTAAATTTTACAAATATTTATTTAGTTTTTTTAATTTTTCAAATAACTATAATGTGACCACATTTATTATTTATAATATAGATATAATAATCAATGTGAATAAAAATAATTTAAGTTTATTTTAATTCAAAATGGCTGACTTTCATAAACACATTGAGAAAATACCAAACATAGCAAGTTGCTTGTCATTTGCAATGAGTGCCAAAGTACAATGTCAGCTATTGAATCAGAGTGACAAAAATGCTTAAAAAACAATTTAGATTTTTACTATTGGTTTAATAATAAGATCTAATGTAATGAGTTTTGATAAATGCTGTTTTTTATTTTCATGGATTAATGTACTAATATAATATGTAATCATACTTGAATATGATCATATGCATAATAACACATGCCTTTACCAAATGAATGAGTAAATCTTTATGAATTTTTACTCACATGGTTTATGGACCCAAAAAAATGTCGGGGTTGACAAACGCCCCACTGCACTAATGCCGAAAAAAAACTCAGTGCACTAACGCAGGGTTAAGTCACTTAAGAAGTGAAAAATAATTATATCATTTGATTTTAAGGTTTATTTTATATCTTAAAAATAAATAATTATATCCTAGCAAATGGATAACTTTTTCTGGAAATCCCGGGACAAGCAAAAGACTGGAAATGGGAAATCCTAATTAGTAGTATTATTTGAAAATTGAAGTAAAAATTAACTTGGTTAAAATTTATTAATATAATAGTATTGTTTGATAGAAGAGATCTATAATTAAATTTTTCTATCTTTAAATTCCTATAATTAATTATAAAATTTAGCTTACAATTTTAAAACTTATAAATTTGTACGAATAAATTGTAAATATTGCGTTCAAAGCATTTCTTGCTGAAAAATGTTCTACCTGATTGGCTGTAGTTACAGCTTTACGTATTAATATCTGTAGTGCGGATTCGTAGTGACGAGCAGCTCTAATGATGCGATGAGGATGGTCCAACCATTGGTCACGGATGTCTTTCAGAGCTTGCAAACCAGCTTCGATCTTTCCCTCCTTTAAAATATAAATATTACAATATTTCATTTATTATTCAAAACATAAAATAAATTAGTAATTAGATTCTCAAGATAAAAATAGTAACAGAAAATGTTTTTTTACTAAAACTCTGTTAAAGAAATGCAATTTGTCTTCGAGAGAAATTTTTTGATGAAATACATTCTTAATTTAAACCAACAAACAAAACAGTTGCTACTGCAACATAATTCAAGTGGGTTTTTTTTGCGTATCATAAAATATTCAACAAAATTTTTTAATACTTTCAAAAACTTTTTAAAGTTATTTTAGAAAATTAACTTATTTTCTGTGCAACCCATTCCCATGCAGAAACTAAATTCTCTATGTTTCTTTATGTTTAAAGGATTGTAGAAACATTAATGTTTCTACAATCCAAATTCAATTAGCAAAACATTGGTCTATATTCTTTTGCACAAAATAATCTTTAAGGTTGGAAGTGGTTTGCACAAGTGTCCAAAATTCATTATCATACATTTAAAAGCTCTCTTGTAAATCCAAACAGATTCCTCCATTCTAAGATTTAATTCATTATCTCAAATGACATTGTCAAGTGAAATGAGGCTCTCTTGTATCTGAGAGAGTCTCCAAATTTGGCTGAGAGTTAGAATGGAAATAAAAACTTTTTATGTATAGATCTTGCAGTTTTCTTACCAAAAAAACGTTTCCACCTTTTTCTATAAGCAGATCCCTTCTTTCTATCAATGAATCTTACAAATCCCTAAATTAGTAATATTTTTATTAACTGTGAAACTTATCAAAAACAATCAATGCTGGCACAAATAGTTCTTGGAAGTTGTCTTTTTAAAATCAAGAGCAACGTTAAAGTATAAAACCAGAATTACCTACAACAAAGAAGAACTTTGATTTTAAGACAAAGTTTTGTAATAAAAAGATAAAACAATTAAAATAAATGCCACATTTACAATTACAAATTCTATGATTATGTCATTGAATTATAGTTTAATGTCATTAAACAAAAATTTAAAATAAAAAAAGAGCTAATCACCACAACTCTATCTGAATGACATGTATGCTTCAATCCTCGATACCTTTGATCTTCATGCTGTTGGCACTGGAAAGAGCATTGTTGTGCCCATCAGTGATGTACCAACAGAGACTAACATGGGGAACACAGTTAGCACTGGGGATGAGACAACAATCTTATTTACCTTTTACTTCTTCCAAGAGGAAAAAGAGAAAGGTTATGGAGACAAGATGCCTATCTGAGAAATATTTTCATAATTGAAAATCTAGATAATACGAACAGTGTTTGAGTCCTTTAAATCCTCTTTAAATCCTTTTCACTCCACTTAGGAACTATATACAGTAGGCAACTTGAAACAAAAAAACTTCTTTAAATTGACAGATAAACACTATTAAAAAATTACACATTAAAAATTATCTTGATATCGACCTTCTGTTTATAGCCTACTGTTTATAGTTCCCAAATGAAGTAAAAAGGATTTAAGGGACTCACACACTGCTCGTATTGTCTAGATTTTCAATTATGAAAATATTTCTCAAATTAAAATAATCCTGGGCTTATGTATAATTATGTAAGATGCCTATCATCTAATCAACATAGTGTATAATGATCATTCCTAACTCCGTAATTTGCATGTACATAATAAAAAGGGATGCCGTATTTATTGTGTTTATCTCCATTTTTGCTTTTTGCTAGCCATTCGACAAGCAAAATTATGTCAAATATTGATAAAAATGGCAACCTTTAAATTTTAAAGGCAGCAAAATCTGCAATGTCCTATTGTGTGTAAATTAACTTTTCTTCTAAATTCTGCTAAATTATTTATTAACTTTAGCATCCAAAGTATTCCAAATCATTGTTGTTCAATAAACTATATTTTTCTGCCCCATGGGGTCCAAATTCTGACAAAATGCATATTTGTTGTTTAAATCGACATTTATAGACTAATATAGACTGACTTTCTTTTATCACCCATTTTCTGTTGCAATGAACATTATAATCTCTTTATAAAAATATATCAGTAATAATATGAATTTAATACATAAAATATCAACAATATTTAGCTTACAAATTTTATAAAATTTATTTTTGTTGGCATTGAACGACAAATTATACTACACCCTTACAAACTTATTAATTTGAATTTGTAATCTTTTTTGTTATATCCAAGAGAGATGAGAAGAAAAGCAGAACACTAATTCTATGTCATATAACTAATAGAAATAATTTAAGTAAATTAAGCCAGAAATCATAACAATCTTTTGAAGATGTGATGGTACAAGTAAGCTAATCTGTAGTTTTCTAGTAATGAATAATAATTTCAAGAAATTTAAGCTAAAAATTACATGAAGACCATCGAATAAATTTAATACATGCAAGTACAGGTATCCTTCGTATAACATGGTTTGAAAACAGGGGATATCCCGACACATCACAACTTCCAGTATTGCTCTAACACATTTTTCTCCGTACAGAATTTCACAATTTTTAGTGTATTTATTCAATTTTTTTATTCAACAAGCATGTGTGTTGTTCTCAAATTTGCCCACGGTTTTTAAAATATTGAACCTTTCAATTTGTTTTGTGGCTTTTATCAGGTTTACTTTAATGAAAACTGATAGTGCAATTTGTTTCTTTCTTGTCCTAGCTTTCTTATCAACCAGGTGTCATTGTCATGGCTTTCAGACTTTAGCCCTTAATATTGTCACCGTGTTTAGAGATTAATTGTCGTATTTTTAGATAAGTGCTATTAAACTTTATTTAAACTGTAGGTAAGCAATCATTCATAAAATGACAAAAAAAATACAACAGTATCTCGGTACTCGAATGATTCTGTATTCAAACACAAATTCTGGAAAAAGTCGTTTGATATTTGATTGAACAAATGCAATCCGCTAGAGAAATTTTCAATTAATAACATATTTTTATTTCATCATTCATAAAAATTTTTTATGATAAAAATATATACGGATAAAAATAAAAGAAAAACAGAACACTATAGATTAGCTTACTTGTACCATCACATCTTCAAAAGATTGTTATGATTTCTGGCTTAATTGCTTAAATTATTTGAAATAGTTATATGACATAGAATTAATGTTCTGCTTTTCTTCTATTTTTCATAAAAAGAAATTTGAAGATGATACTTTGTAAAAAGAAACTGCTCCGGTTTAACTAAAATGAATATTAATGCATAATACGGCACTTTTGATTGTGATTGTTAATTATTGACTGGAAATGAAGTAGCGATTGCTTTAATAAACATATTTCTCTTAGTAACAAAAAAAGAAAAGAAATAATATACTTTCATTAACTTCTGGAATGTAACCCTATGCTTTGCATTTGTCCTTTGTTTCGTATAGCGCGGATTCACATAACATGGCATTTTTTTGGAATGTAACTATCATGTTATACAAGGGATACCTGTACTTCATTTACCTGTAATAAATTAAATGCCGAAATCCATAGTCTGTTATTCCCCGGACCACTTCTCACTCCACCCAACTTCCCTGCCATTATTCCAAGAAGATCGGCAATACAGGACAGAGTTCTCGAGAGTATTTCAGTTTTGGATGCCGATTTCAGACACACTGAAAGTTTTAGAAATTACTACTTTTTTTTAAACAAACAAATAATATAAAAACAACCAATACCATTAGTGTTGCCACCAGGCCTGTTTTCACCCGGACAAGCCAGTTTTTAAATTCATGGTTTGGATTAATTTAAACCATGCTAACTGGCATGCGCATTGTTCAGTTCTTGGCTGTAAAATGACATTGTGCATGCCTCGTACAGTTTTAAATTCAAACCAGTCATGGACTTGTGTTGGAACAAACCTATTGTAAAGCAAATGTGACAGTTTCAGTTTATAATTTCTATTTTAATTATTTAATATGACAACTCAAGAAATTGAAAACCCCAAAAAGAGGAAGCAAACTTGTAAATTTATTAAAGATTGGCTGACACAAAATGAATTCTACTCACAATAAAAAAAAAACTTAATTTGTTTTTATTTCTAAGTATAACATCCTAATTTTAAAATGTCCGGGTGACCAATTTTGAAAAGGTAGCAACACTGAATATCATTAAAGAAACAAAACAAAATCTGAAAATAAAAAAAAAATTTAAAAAGTTTTTGTAGATATAACAATGTTTAATTCCTCTATAATATTTTTATTATACTTTATTTTTATACATATTTTTTCTCAAAACGAAATAATTCAAAAATGTCACACACTAAAAATTTGCTTATTATTTTCTCCAGAATGGAATTTAGATGACTGGCATGACTATTGTAAATAGGAAAAGTGTGATTTACAGGGGCTAAACACTACTAAAATTAAAAGCATATACCGGTATTTTAAAATTAAATAAATTAAAAATATTATTAAAAATTTCAGCCCGGCTGATTGTGACCATGTCACAATAAATTGCTTGTTGCAATAAATAAATACATACATAGAAATTTATCTAAAATAAATTTCTATGTATGTATTTATATATTTATTTAATTATTTGATTCAAATAGTTCGGAATACTTTAACATAAACAAACTTTATCTAAAGAGTGAAATTTTAACGTCAAATTCAATTCTTTTAAAGTATAAATCTTCAAATAAATATACAGTCAACTTGATTTAAACGATCATCAATAAAGCAAATTCTCATGTTAAAAAAATTTTGCCGCTGCCCAGTCAAAATACCGTAGTAACAACATTAATTTTCACGCGATAAAGCAAATAAATATTTTTCAGTGTTTGTAAGATCTAAGTGTAAGTTACCTTCACAACCCCAAGAAATAATCCTATTTCCAACAATGGTTGCTTTTTACACTTTTCAACATAAACAATAAAAAAGTTGTATTGTAATAAATGTTTCATTTTGGGTAGAATAAATTTTCTTCTCTTATTAAGCAAAGGCAGCTTTGACCTTGGTTTTAGCAGAATATTCTACTGTACTCAGAAAATAGAGGTTAAAGTTTAAGGATGTTCACCCCTTTAAATGAATGCAGTCCTGTGCGAAAACGAGCTAGTTTGCACGTTGGGGAGTGCAAAAGGTATGCCAAGTTTGGCTACATTTTTACTCTTTTGGCACCAAAAAATATCATAATTTTCTTAACAATACACAGTTTTATAAACTAAAAAAATTATTTACCTTCATCCAGAACATTGACAACTCTTTTATCCCATCCCTCCACATGAGCAGTTCGAAAATATGGAAGAACAGGACTATCGCTGTTGTTCAAAAGGATTTTACTAATTTCTTTCAAAGCTATTGATGCATATAATTCTCTGAAAAAATGAATTATAAATATAACAATAATTATATTTTATTAATGTAGCTTAATTAATATTGCTTAATAACTAAATTCTAATAATATATATCACATAAGCTTTACAACTCAACTACTAAAATAATATACTACACAAGCTCTATTTGGGGTTCATTTAGATCATATGTATAAACTAGATAAATTCCATATAATACCATATTTTCGTGGAATGACTGGCATGCCGGTTTAAGTGAGGGTATACATCCCTCACCCACCAGTGGCCAAGTGGTTCCGTTCCATCGAACAGTGGGAGTTCGGTGGTGGGTTCGCGCCTGGCTATGACGGGCTGGTTACGTAGAGTTTTCTGGTTTTTCCCCACATCTGTAACGCCTAAATAGGGGCCAGTTTCCCTTAAAAAGTCCTCCCGGAAGGCATCTCTCCTAGGCACATCGCCCAAGTGTTTCGTTGCCATAACTAAACAAACAAATATACATCCCTCTCTAGAAGGGGCATTAAAAAACAAACGAGGAAAAGAGGAATGTGTTATTTTTAAGGTGGGGTAGATGATCAGTGTAGCCACACTGTCTAGCTCAGCGTTTCTCAACCTCTAACGAATCGTCACCCCCTTCAACGTAGTATCGCCCCCTTCGCTTCAAAATTCCGATGCCGAGGGCCAAGGCTAACGCCAAATTCGTACTGTATCGAATAGACTAGTGACTAGTATAATGTTATTTGTTTAATTATTGTACGATATAACGAATAAAATATCTAATTATTCTTAATATAATGTTTTACTATATTGCCCAGAAAATTGTTTTTCGTCCCCCAAAATATAAATTGTTACTAATTGCCCCCTCAACATGGGAAACACTGGTCTAACTATTACTGCTACTGTCAATAAGTCGTTAATTGTTTTATTGTCCTGTAAACGAAAACTTTCTCCCCGATTTTAAGTCAGTCAAATTACAATTTTGTTATTTTATTGCACTAGTTGTCTTTTATAAAGTGTTCCATCTGTGGAAATTGCACGTGTTCAAATCAAACTGTCACTTTGTATTCCTTCAATTTGTCATTCAACATCTGTTTTGTTTCTCCTGTGTAAATATTTTTTACAATATCGCAAGTACTATTTAATCCATACACAACTCCTTTAAATTTTAAAACATTAAATGATTTTTTTTTCTTTTCAATAAGTTTATTTTTTAGTTTACTTTTAAAATTAGCTCATTTGAAAATTCCTTACAAAGTTTACTACTATCTTAATAGATTTAATGTTAAAAATCATAAACAATATAATCTCTATTCCATTTTTCTAATAGACTATTAGGATTCTTAATCCAAAATGCATAGTTTTCAATAAATGGCAATTTTATCTGTTGTGATTTCTGATTTATTCAGATTAGATGAGACTTCATTACATTAATTAATAAGCTCTATGTTTAGTCTCAAGTTAATTTTGAGGCAAGTAACACACTTGTAAAAGATAATAGACTATATTGAAACTCAAAACAATTTTTTAAAAGAAGAGTGGTTATGTGACCATATATGGATCCCATCCCAACTGTAGTGATCCACGGTAGCCACTGACTTTTTGCCTATCCCTCTCCAACTGATGTACGTGGTTTAGAATGTTCCCTTATGCTTCAATAGAAAAATTCACTCTATTCAATTTTTGTGTGCAATTTGGATAACAACTTCAGCAGATATTATAAAATTAATTTCTGTTTCCATCCACATTTTTGCTATATTTTAGGCTGCATGTTCTCGACCTAAGTCTATCTCTAATTTAAAACGGCAGGAAACTGCACTTTTCCAATGCTTCAACACACTTTTAAAAGAACGCAAAACCAAAAACGTTCAATAATTTGCTGTTAATTATAATTAAGACAAGTGCAGAAAGAGCTCAAAAGTATCGAGCTCTAATTTAATTCAGTCAAGTAAAAGCACTCAAAATGACACATAAAAGTTTACATTTCCAGTGAGAAAGCACAAAAGTTTCATTTAGAACACGAGTGCTTAGCATACATTCTCTTTTTCCAGTTGAGAAAATCTAAATGTGCATATATACACAGGACAAGTCAAGAGTCCCTCGCACTTTTTTCATTCCAAAAGTACTGAAGCTATATTAATTTTGGTAATGTAGGTACGTAGGAAGTCAAGTACGGAGAAGTGGATGGGACCAAGAAAGATCTCCATACATGACTTCCTACGTAACTACATTAACAAAGTTAATATACAGTACATTTAGTATTTTTCGAATGAAAAAAGATGGAAGTGAACTCTTCACTCACCCTACATATATACGAGGCGAGTGAAGAGTCCTTTGCATCTTTTTCATTATATAGCCTATATATACACACAGCCTATATATGTATGTACAGTATATATATATGTACTGTACAACCCTGTATTTCTACAATATATTAGTTAATATTTTAGTCTTTAGTCAGACTATTTTCATAAAAAACTCCTAATGACATTCTTCTAGTAACTAATAAAATGTAAAATTCGTACCTTCGACTCTGAAATGCTTCTTCATAATCGTTAAATTTTAATATATCATTTATGGAAAATCTCTTTCTGTTTTTCCACCTATTTAATAAAAATTAAAAAAAACTTTCATTAAAATTCAAATAAGTAATCTCAAATGTTAAAAATAGTTATTTCTTGATACACAATATTAAAAGAGAACACACTTAAGAAAATCTTCATTTCAATATGTAGAATAAATATCTCAATATTTATCTTTTCACGTATCAAAAAATAATGTTTCTTTTATATTCACTTTACTTAATTAACACAATATTCCCATTAATTTAATAATTAAAATCATAATGATATTAATGATATCAAATGAAATGTCATTATCCTAGATGAGTTAGGTATTGTTTATCTATTTTACGTCTATTTGTTTGACTCTTCGGAGATACTGAAGAGTCAAACAAAGAAGAAAATTGCAAAAAAAACACCTGGAGTAGTTGCAAAACAAAAGCTGGATTCTCTCTCACCATTCATTGTCTATCTGAACGTTATTGATTTTACTATCTCAATAACCAAAGTTGAAATGCCGACCAGACGGCATTACTTCATTCGGCATGGCCATTTTTTTTTTCTTTTTAATTTAGAAGCGCGGTATATCGACGTTTAAGAAAATGCCAAAGGGAAACAGAGTGAGGAAACCTTTTTTTCTCAAGCTGTAAAATTTTGAAAGGTTCCGCAAATGATGAAAACGTCTATACTGTCGTACACCACACGTCATCCTGATCTGGTCCATCCGACAATTGTGCACCAGTGTCTGACGGGAACGTAATAAATTACGCTGGGAGAAGTGATGGGATAAATACATTTACCCTATACTCCCTGTTATGGTAAAATATTAACAAGGTGGTTCCTACCGACTCAATCGGGATAAAAGGCCACACACCCTGGGTTTGTAGGAACCAGTCGCATCTTCTATTCATTTTTTTTTTAATGTTTAAAATTTAGAAAAGAATCTAAAACTATCAAGACCTTCCTAAGCTCTCAATCAGTACGAATCGACCCACGACGTAGTGTAAAATTTAAAGAAAAATGAGAAAGCGAGACGGTTGTGCTTTGTTTCTCGCTTTGTTACTTCGTTTTGCGGCGATTAACTGATTTATTCTTTAATTTCTTTTTGTTTGCTTCTTTTAATGCCTTTTTTTTTTTAAATGGAATAACTAAGTAATTTTTAATTAAAATGTAAAATCATTTGAAACATTAATTAATGAATATTTTACTCTTACTAACATTTACAACTTTTTATAAAACACATATCTACCCTCGAAATTATACGTTTTTTCCATTTTATAATAATTAATAATATAAGAAATCCAGCTACGAGTTGAGTAACTTCTCCGGCTATTATGAGATTTTATTTACAAATAAAACTTTTATATTATTAATCGTATCCGATAGTTGAATTAATATTAAGAATTTAAAAAATGCAGGCAAAATTCAATAAATAAATAAATAAATATAAAAACTAAAACTGTATTCTGTGTACAGTATAATCAAAGGTTATCATTCGGGAAAACTAAACGGAAATTAATTTATTATTAATCTAGAAATCAATAAAGAACAGGTAAAGAAACGTCACCCCAGGTATTGATCCTTGTTCCAAGTTTCTTCTCCCGTAAAAAGTAATAAATGTTCCGAAAAATCATCTGCAGTCCAATACAGTTTTGCCCGGAGCAGGGTCTTCCTGTCGTCTCCCTGGAACAAAACGCCGGACGGAAGTAACTTATAAATAAACACAAAATAATCCGACAGCATATCTTACGTAAGGAAAATAGCCAAAGGGAATTTTCTAATACAAAATAAAAGTCAGTTACCAGATCTGGATCCCACAGGTCGTCGGGGCCAATTCCAGTCCTTTGGAAAAATCGATTCCACGGGCGATTACAAAAGGTACCGCGCCGGTCCGAAAAGGGAACCTGTCGATTGATAATAAGGTAGACATTTTTATTTTCCACCCATCTACATCTTAAGCGTCGGCCGAAATTAATTAAAATTCCCGGTTACCGGATAAGCAAATAAATTTTGCGCATGATTCTGTCGGTACCAGGACAGGAACGGTCGTTCGACTAATTAAGGAACGACCGTTCCTTAATTAGTCGAAATTGCAGACTGTTAAAATTAGTCGAAATCGCAGACTGTTAAAATTAAAATCGACCGGAAAGTCGAAAGCTTAATTTAAACTCGGATAATTACGTGGAAGGTAAAAATTGACGGAACTGACCGTGAAGATGTCGTCGCATCCAGAGACAACGTGGAGGCGGACGGAAGAAGCGGACCGGTCCGGCGGGCGGATGGCCAAACCCAGGACGGCCATTCCGTCCGGAACAACAATCCGTGCCTGAAATAGAAAGAAAGTGAAGTGCGGTGAAAGCGATGGGGCTCGACCCACGACCGGAAGGGCGGACTCACCTGTAGCCGGTCCAGCGTCGATCCGTTGAGGAAGCAACGGCTTCCCACCTTTAGGTCCCGGGCCTGAATTCGACAGTTGTACACCGCCGAACCGGTGCTGATTCGGGCCTCTGGTCCGGCACTCAGCCATGAGTTGAGTACCAGGCAGTCTTCGGCAGCCGTCTCCTCCTCCTGCAAAAAAAGACGGGCGAGCATTATCGAAAACCAGTTTCCACTGGAAGGATAGAAGCGTGGGAGGGACACCACGGTTTTCTAATCTTTGCCAACAAAATGAAATGTTTTGTGTCGCTATTACCTGGAAACCTTTAAAATTCTTTATTCTTTACTGTACACAATTTAAAGAATTTTTTAAATGTGTTAGATTGGTCACTCAGCATGATAAACCCTTACGTAAGATAACCTTCGTAATTATATAAATCAAATACTATAATATAACAAACATTAAAACGAAAACCATATAAGGAATTTGGTTATTTCAGTCTACCATTGTCACGTTTACCGCGATACTCGGATGGACACTTTCATTCCATCCGCTGGGTCCAATGGGAGAAAGAGTGTTCCGGAAGGTGGTCCGGAAGTAATTCGACCAAAATTAGTAGTAGTCCTCCTCCTCCTGAAAGAAAAGATGCTCAACGACTACGCTTTAATACTGGTTTACTACGTGGCCAGCCCGTTGACCATGCCCCAACCCACGACTATGGGTGTACGGTGGTTTTATGCACTGGGCTACTGTAGGGCTCTTATTAGAATTAAGAAAGTGCCGTTCGGAAATGAAAAAAAAAACCCGAGTCGTTAGATGTGGAAAATTAAATACTTAGACTTTTGACAGCGTAATTACCACTTTCCATTCCACACAGGCAAGCGCTATATGCTACCTGTGGCAGTAACAATATAGTGCTATATCATTGTCACAGTAATTAATTAATTTAAGTAAATTTACTGGCAATATATATATTTTTTATAATTATATTTATTTTAAGAATTACGTTCAGTTCATTTTCTTAAATTTTTTGCCAATACATGGCGCTATGTGTAAAACCAGCAAATGAAACAAAGACGAATTAATTGATATATAGAAATTCAATGGATATATTGAGGCGATGTTTATGCCATTATCTAAGTTACAAATCATGTTAACTTAGCTGCCAAGTTTCGTAGCAATTGGTCGAACGGTGTAGGCGTGCGTAGCAAACAAACAAACAAACATCCACATTTATATAATGTATAGGCCTATAGATTACAGACTGTTACATTGTTTAATTCTGTTATAACTTATTGCAATGTAATTTTTAAACTGTATATTGTTAAATATTACATGTTTTATTATATAAAAATTCATTATAACTTCCCGAAATGTGCGAAAAATAATTCATTAAATGTATTAAACGAAATATCGTAATTTTTATATTGTAAATTAAGTAAAATTAATAATTTACCGTTTAAACCATAAATTAAGCTAACTACTTTAAAAATTCTGTCAAAAAGGAACAAATAAAAGAAATATTAAGAAGAAAAGTTGGCACAAAAGCGGTCATTTCTCTATTGACGACGTCACGAGTGGGTGAAACGGCCCGATAATCTACATGGTGGTGGCCCAGCCAACGCCTAATGGCGGAATCGGAACGGGCCTTGGGATTCCTAATCCCAAGGCCCGTTCCGATTCCGCCATTAGGCGTTATTGTTCCGCCTTCGATTACACTGACGAAATCCGAAAGTAATAACGTGGAAAGTGTGGGGCGGCCGGCCACATCCGAAAAAGGGGTGGGCGCGGTTTGGCTTCTTACCTCCAGATGAGAATGGACCACCTTTTCTGTTGCCACGCCTCTCAGCAGCTCCAGGTGACGTCTTCCGGTCTCCTCGTCCGACCAATAGAAATGAGCGTAATTCTTCAGACCCACTGTCAAAACAAGCAATGGAGTTAATTAATGGAGAAGCGGGGAAGTTAAGTTTTTCGCGGCCGGAAGAGGGACGGGTGCTTCCGGTGACGTCTATACCCCGAGCCAGAATTAATGTCAATTTCTTGCATCGCCATGTCGGCATTTTCACTCAATCCTAAAGTAAAACTAGCGAGTTTATCGTACCGTCAATGTGAAGGAACTGGTTATACGTTAGATAAAAGGGAATGTAGACAAAGTTTAAAAGGCCAAGCCAGCGCATAAAGAACAACAACGGCAGTGGAAAAAATATCGAAGCACGAGACGTAACTGCATAATTTAGAAATAATGCCGGCTCGGGGTCTAGACGCCTGTCAAAGCTAAAGATTTTCCAGCAACCGTGATCTTATAATAAACCGATGTCAACTTTGTCGGTTTATTAAAAGGTTTCTAAACTAAAAACAATCGTTATTTTATATGCAGAAATACTGGAAATCGACGGCCAGACTTTGGCTTATCTGGCGCCAGGCCCGCGCTCGTTTTTCTTCTCTTCGATAGAACGAAGAATTAAAATCCGCGGGCATGGGTGGGCCCGAATAAGCTCGATCGATCCGGATTCTAATGCCGTACCGGTGAATATTTTCACTTTCTGCCACGACCGTATCACGTGGCGCAAAAGCCTTTGCCCACGGGAGTGAGTTGAAGAAACTTTTTGTTTCTAGTGGCGATGGCAGTGGCCCGCACGGCCGGAAATTGCCAGGCGGGAAAGATTCCCACTCCTAAAGGCGAGGCCCGGCAGCCCAGACTGCCGTGGTTACATTTTTTTCGGGAAGGTATTTCCCGCCCCAGCAGTGTGTAAATCTGTCAATCCAGGTGGAGAAATTCAACTTTTCGACTTAAATACAATGTTAAATATAAAATATCTGCCAGTCTACTTATTTTTAGTGGCAGAAAAATTTAAGTTTTGCACATTCGTATTTACGTAGCGTAAATAATTTTCATTTTCTTTAAATATTAAATAACTAGTGGTATTTTGCCCCGGATGGACAGATTTACCCACGCGCCCGATGGTCCAGGTACACCGTAGTTCGGACGACAAAACCTTTTTGTAAATACGGATAAGACAGGAAGTATGAGTCGCCAGTTATTTCCAACTTGGGGAAAGGCTCGGTTATTGTACTTCGGAAGCGGTTAACCAGGCGCAGGAATGAAATCCTTTCCCACCACGATTGTACTTTCTGGTCGTAACCGTCGTCTTTTCTTTTTACGTACATTTGTATCGACCTTCCGCACTTTTTTCTTTGCCGGTAAATACCTCTGTTTATTACGAAATCGTCCTTTTTACTCGTCTCTTTTAAAAGAATGTTATTTCAATTTACCGGAAAGTGAATCTGTAGAAAAGAGCGGCAATTTTCATAAAGAAAACGATCAAAAATTTTCTATCTTGCCAATTGTTCGCGGCCCGTTCGACGGTGCGCTCGCTCCGTTTAAACGAATCGAAAAGAACGGTACATTACCTGCCGCCATTCGGTAGGGGGAGAGGCCGTCCCACACCACGCTCCTGGCTCCGGCAGCCACTCGTCGGTTCCTCCGCTCCAGGCCGAACCGGCCGTCGTAGGTCCTGCCGCATCTTCCCGACAGAAAGTCGTCTCTGCCCACGTCGGCGGCGGCGGCCACCAAGATGTCGAAGAAGAGGGAAACCTGAAAGGGCAGTCTTCTTTAATCCTCTCCCTCTTGGGCCCGGCGGAAAGGGGTGCCCACAGCTAGATTACGGTTAACCCAAAGCCCCCGTATGGTCCCTGAAGATTTAAGTAAGGACACCTTTCCCCCCAGATTAAGTTAACCTTAACCCTGGCCGCCAACTCTTACTGCGAAAGAAGCAAAAGGCGCACCTGCAGGGGTCGGGCTCCGCTGTCCAGTCCCATGTAGTTGCAGGAGTCCAGGGGGGAGACGGAGTGGAGGGCCGACAGACTCTCGGCCGCCGCCGATGACAGATACACCAGTCCCGACACCTGCCGAAAAAAACGTCGTCTTCAAAGGAGAAATTGACTGGCTTCTTTCCGCTCGCCATCCCTCGCACCCCGACCTTTTCTGCCCGCTCGCGGTGTCGGTTTAACGGTAAGGGAATTTACCGTGCCACCGGTCGACGGGTCCGACGGTCTCTCGAGGAATTGGCCCGGGATGGGAAAAGGCCAGTCCGCACCCTCCACCGTCCGGGCCAAATTGGTGGTCAGAGCCGGCGGGAGGGGAAGGCGAAAGGAGGAGGATGGAGCACGGTGCGAAGAACGTCCGGATTGGGGTGGGTCGAACCCGTCGACGTAAGGCCGCGGGACTGCCGTTTCCGGCGGCAAGAAATATCGCTGCGGGGAGCGAGGGAGAGCGATTTTACGGGCTGAGAGGAAGGAGAAAGGTCCCACCAGAGGGACGGTACCGTCATCCAGACGGCAACGATCCACGTCTTCCGGTCTTCCGCGGTACAGCACGTCCCGCACCGTTCCCTGAAAAGAGAAAACAGTCAGTTCTTGAGACTAGTGGCAATAAGATGCCCCTTTTGTACGGTCGGGAGCGCGGATGCAAAGGGAAGGGAAAACGGCAAATAAAATACAGGCGCGGGAATATCGGGAAAATAAAGTCTTAGGGGAAAGCTACAGATCCACGCAGAAATTCATGGTAGCTGCGGAAGGCCGGGAGTAGGAAAACCCCGACTGGGTATAGCCGAAGCCACGGACTATGGGGTTCTCTAGTCTTCCGCGCAGACGATTTACTTCTTCCCTCCGGCGATAACCTTACTTTCCGTTCTTCGTTCGGCACGTGGACTCGGAAGAAGGCCCGACGGCCGTTACCATAAATTATAATAGGAAAATCCGGCCCGGAAAACGTTTACGAAACCGTCGACCTGGGCCCATCCGGCGGCCCAAATTTCACGCGGGCACCGGGTGGAGAAGAAACAGCTGGCCAGTTGTAGGCGTATGTAAGACCGAAACGGATCTGTTTTCCGGTGCTGGTGGAGGGAAGGGAGGGGCCGGAAAAGAGAAAAGAGAGGTGATAATCACCTGGGAATCCATTCGAACCACTCCGTGTCCGGCGGCGTACTCCGCTCCGGCCGAGATGTAGAACAGTTTGATGTCGGCCTTGTTCTTCGTCTCTTCCGCCTCCCACTCTGAAAAAAGGCCCAGGCGGTTCAGCGGCAGCGCGTTTCTCTCCGATGGGCCCAGACCACCTCTTATAGAAAAGGTGCCCGGCCATGGGTAAACGGAAAGGTCGATTTCGGGCGGAAGTCGAAAGGAAGGAGTAAGAAATAAATCCAGTCGACCGGAACCACAACGGGAATAATCGGCAGCGTGGGAGACGTCGGCAGGTCCGCGGTCTCCCACGAATTACCGTGACGCCATTCCCAATACTTTACGCAGTAAGTACAGTACGTTACGTCTATGTGACATTAATATTTCGATCGGATAATAACATAGCGTATGAACTGAATATATTAGCTTATATATATATAACCCATTGAACGGGTATCCGTTCCGCGTAACGGTATGCCAAAAACGATCACTAGAGGCGCCCTAGAGATGATTTTAAATTAACAATAAATTATTTTTATTTGTAATAGGAATTTATTATTGATATGAATTTATTATTTATACCACAGGAATGGTATAAATAATTATTATATGCCTTGATTAACCTTGCGCCGCACGTTTACATCATCCGTGACTCAGTGAACGTCGCGCATTGACTCACGGGAAATTTGTTGAAAAAATGGCGGATACATTTAAAATCGAGGTTTACAAGCGAAGGTAAATAAACAAATTGAACTATTTTGAAGTATTTATAGAATGTTTAATAGGTAGAAATATAGATTCGTATGACGTAATTAAGATGGTAAGATTTACCCTCCGAATAAAGGGGTGGCGACTCCCCGAGTGTGCGCGAGCGCGCGTTAATATTTTTTTCACATGGTAAGGCTCCCTTTTGACCACGGTGTCACGTGACCGGAAATGACGTAGGCGAATTTTCAGGGGCTTATATCTCGCGAAGGATCGCGAGTAGGGGTATGGTTTCTTTGACTTTATTGTTCGCACAGGGGGCTACAGTTTGGGGGGTTGCCGCCCCTTTATTCGGAGGGTAAATCTTACCATTCAGACTTTAACAGAGCTGTAGAGCATATTGATAGGAACAAAAAAGTCAAAGGAACCATGCCTCATGGAAATTTGTAAAGAACGCCCACTAGGGGGCGTCTCGGGCTACTAGTTAGTGTATAAGGCTTTCTAGCCTGGCCCACCGCCATCGTCCCGCGTGGCTGAACGGCCTTCCTACCGGTCTAATTTTTACCCTTCCTCTTTCCACCACAACAAAAGTCCAACATTTTCTATTTGCTATTCCGTCGGCTCGGACGGCAAAAGCGACAAGGTTTTGCCGTTCCACACGCGAGTACTAGGTTTAAAGCAGGGCGGGCACCGGAATACCCCCGGAATCCACCCGTTAATGGCAACCGCACGCAATTCATGTCGTGGCTCCACCCGGTCCACCGGGAACAACGGAGAAAACCGGTCCGTATGCCATCGTGTTAAATTAAACCCACCATCGTCTCCCGAAATGTAAGGCGGAAGGAGAATTTGCCTCCTTTGGCTGCCCGCTTCTGGAGCCGTCAAATAATAAAACGCAGAAATTCTTTATCAAAATAACCGAAAGAAAGAATCCCCTACAAAAATTCAAAAGACCTGTTAAAAACTTGGCATCGCAGGAGGCGGAAGAGGAACCAGAAGGAGTTGGGCCCGGAGAAGAAGACAGCAGCAGTGCGTCCGTGCTGCACACCCAAACGCCGGATTCTTCGTCTCTTGACACCTGAAAGATGGGAAAGTTAAAAGCGTTATGCGCGCCCGTTTCTCAAACGGGCGGAAAAGACGACTTCCGGGGATTCCGCCCCTCCGTCCGACCAAAGACAAAGACCACTCGCCTTTTCCATCAGCCATAACAGGCGTCGAAGACAGTTGTCCAGAGAGTACACCCGCCCAGACTCCTCCTCTTCCGGAGGTGTGCGGGCCAGATCGACAAAGGCCTTTCCCCGACACTCCCACAGATACGTCCTTCCCTGTGGAGGCAAACGGACAAGTTACCGGCCACGCCACTCTTCCCTCCTTTCTCCGCCTCCGCCCCTCTTCCGGCTGCCGGACTTTCCGTTCGTCCGCTCTTTCCCCGTTTCCTCAGTGGGAGGAGGGAAGGAAAAGCGAAAGGAATGGGAAGCCGGACGCCCGGGGAGGGGAGGGACCGGAGAGGGAGAAGCGGCCGATGGCGGAGAGAAAGACAGCCACCCACATGATGCAGAACCAGGACGCGGCTCTGGCCAAAGACGTCAGCGGTCACCACCTGAAGGAAAAAAGGAAAGCGGATTAGCGGTCATCGTCCGGAAGCGGAGCGACGGGAGACTCACCGAATATCCCTGGCGCAGACTGAGAAATTCAGCGGCCACCAGCAGGGCGTTAAGGGTGGCGGTGCCGCTGCCGGCGGCAGGGGCCGGATCCTCGGCTGTCAAAACGGGTAGGTCCAGGTCCAGCCATCCTCGAGAGCGAAGCAGTTCCGTCTCTAAAAAGAAACATCCCTTCATCTGCCGTACACTTTTCTATATTTTAAGAAACGGCACCGACCAGTTAAGTTTGGTGGGGTGGCAGCTGCCACCCCACAAACTTAAAAATGGAGCAATTCAGCTTTTGCCGGTCAGATAAAGGCTACTATACACCATGGGTTAATCCTCAAAGGAGTAACCATGCATGCCTGATTTTGAGTCATTCCTGGATGTGTGGGGGGAAAAATTTAACAGTTTCGGTGAACTGTACCGACCACCTGAGTAGAATCGGTCATATTCTTTAGGTTAATTCTCAAAGGAGTAATCATGCATGCCTGACCTTTATAATTCTTGGTAGTTTATGGGGTACAATTTAACAGTTTCTGTGACCTGTACCGACCACCTGAGTAGAATTGAAAAACCATTTGATTTTCCTGGCGCAGTGTCAGACTGTGCAGGCCGATCTAAACGTGTGTGAGAACAATGTCTCGTGAATGTTTGGAAGAATTATTTTCTATAACCTTATTAACTTTTATTATTTATAACCTAATAAATTAATTTTTCAGGTTATAAATTATTTTCGGATCAAAAATTTCTTGAGTAAATTAAAATTATAAATAATTTTAATATTTAGAAAACTTCTCAATTCATTTCTTCCGTTTTCATAAAACATCTTGATACTCTTTATCATTTTCTTCTACATTTTAAAAAATTTATTGTTTTAATATCCAAGTAAATTAAAACATGACAACTTAAAATAAGACAAAGTTTAATAAATTCTTTTTAATTATTAAATTATAAAATTAATTTGCGATAATAATGTTTACAATTTGTACTAATATCGGATGTGGTTGAGAATTATTAATATATATTCGTCTATAAAATTTAATCCATGAATTTTTTTGGTAGTAAAATCGACTTGCCATTGTCTTTCGCTGATAATTGATGCTTTTTAACATAATCTATAGCCCAAGATTTCTCTTGAAAAATTAATTTTGTGATATGAAATAATTCCATTAAAAAATTATTCGTATGAAAAATCAATTTTGTGATTAGTGCTACCCAAACCACTACTACTACTATTTACACCATAGACTTCTATGCATACTTTTTTCCGCGAGTTTTAATAGAATTTGTTGCCAATAAACATCAGTGGCGTAATAATAAACACAGTGGCGTAGCGAAAATAACTGCACCCGGGCCGCGACACTATATTGGCACCCCCCTCCCCCTCCAGAAACAAATTTTGTTATTCTTGGAAACCATTAGGCTCCCCTCTGCCAGTGGTGCCCGGGGCAAGCTGCCCCACCCTCTGCTGAGAGGTTTTCTTCGTTTTTGGACGATAGGAAATTCGGAAGTTCCTCAAAGCCAGGCAGCCTCAAAGGATTAACCCATGGTGTATAGCAGCCTTTATAGAGCGTGTCTGCAGGAACAAGGAACCGTACCTGTAAATGTCACCCTTCCCCGGATACGGACCTACGAAATCTGCCTAAAGCCCACTTCCAGGTGTTATAAGGAGTGGTGCCGCTCGTGGCGTGTTTAGGGGGTAGGGCGCTCGTGGGTAGGGCACGGTCGTCGGACGTTCTAACGATATTTATCGGCCGTGGGTGCCCGTAACAAATAATTAATGTATTAACTTGTACCGAAATCAGTTTTTACTTCCATCCGATACTACTGCCCGTTGCCCCCGCTCCGCCCGTGGTCTGGTGCTCAGGTGCTGGCTACGGCCGGCATCTCTCACACCTAAAACTGTGTAACATGGAGTACTCTGCCAACGAACGTCCCCATCCGGTCCACCCCACCCCCTGCCTTACCTAAAGACCTATACTGGCGAGTCTGTGCTCTAAGTTTACCTTATTTTCTTAAGACTGTGTTTAGTGTTCGAATGGAACAGAACCTGTACGCAGGATTCTAACATTCGTTACGCCGTACAAGTTAGTCTGCTCCTTTGTCTACAATAACCGATTATTAAAAAGTAAATAAAAGAATGCAGTACAATATTAGTGGACTGTTCTGTTCGACGTCGAAATTGATATACGCATTACATCATTGTCGACAAACTGTTGGCAGTAGACATGAAATATACAGTCCCTTATTCTTTTAATGTCGTCTCGAAACAATGTGCACTTTCTGGCCAAATGTTCCCGTCTGCACTGGAGTCTGTCATTGTTAATTAACAAAATTAAACCCTTAAGTTTTAGACCAGGCCTGGCCAACCCGCGGCCCGTCACGCTAAATTGTGTGGCCCGCTAAGCAATATTATATATCTATTAAAACTTTTTTATAAGCGTGTTTGTCTAAATTGTGGACCGCCGTAATGTTACGCATGACCCGCGAAACAATTTAGGTTGGCCAGGCCTATTTTAGATGAAAGTCTCGGTCTCCTCCGAGCAACCGGGCTAATCCCACTAGTGGGCTATGGTACTCGCTAATTGTTTACTATTTCCCCGCCCACTCGCATTTTCTTTTAATGCCTACCGATACATTTGTCTAGTCCACCCCAGCCATTGGTGGTCGACAATACAACCAGAGAAATGGCCCGCCAAATTTGCCTGGCAGCCACCTATCGCCATCAAATGATGATGATGATGATGATGATAATAATAATAACAGAGCCATCTTCACTGGCCAACCTTGGATGCCACGTGATTTCGTAAGTCATTGGCATATTCCTACAAGGGATAAAAGGAAACTGTCCCATTCTCGAATACTTTCCACACATGGACAGAAACGAGAACGAGTGGGCCTTTCTTGTTCCGACTAGACAAATCTCGGTACACATTAGAAGAAAGTCCCAGTGGGTGGGGAATTTACCGGGAATAGTAAACAATTACCCTTTCTTTTTCCTACGGACGTGTGTTAGGGTTCCAACGGCATCGTTCGCCTCTGCCATTGAACCCTTAAGCCCTGGTCACACTATGCGATTTCCAGCCGCGCAGGCGACTGCAACCGCAATGGCTGTTCCCGTTAACTAGTAATCCCCCCTCGAAAACCGGCGCAACTGCAATCGCAACTAGAAACAAAAAGTTTGTTCTACTCGCGACGATTGCAAACACGCATCCAATCAACAAATGCCTTTATGCCATGTCATACAGTGACAACATTGAAAATAGTTCATCATCATGGCGGATAGTCAGAGGATTAATACTTTTACAGAATCGAGATTGATCGAGCTTATTCAGGCTCACGAATACCTGTGGGATTTTNAGTAAAAACTAACGCTGCTACAGCGACAATGCAATGAGCACGTGCTTCGCTTAGAAAATGGCGGGTTGCAGTCACGTGACAAAAATACTATGTTAACTAAACTGTGATTGGTTAAAGCGTAATAGCTATCGATAGCGTGGAACCCAGACGCATCTCGACTGACTACCCTTAGCGAAACCCACTTAACGTAGAGCTCAGAATAGCAATTTGTGTAAGGTTCGTTAACTGCCTTTCGCTAAAGGGACTTATCGAATGACCCGTGTATCGCTCTCGTTGAGTAATCGGAAGAGCTCAGAATAGGTCCCCAGGGCTTTAGGGGGACCCGATCGACCGCGCCCCACTTCCCACCCGGGACCGGAGAGGCGTAGAAGAAAGAACGGCCCAGACCAACCTTTCTGCAGGGCCAGGGCCCTTCCGTCGGGAGGACACGTGACCACCAGACAGTCCCACATTATCTCCCGCTACGTTATTCGTCGGCTAACGCGCGCCTCCTGTCGGCCGCGATCGGCCAACGGACGGGAGGGAAAACGAGAACAGGGAAGTCGGGATGGAGGAAAGAGTAAGGCGTGCCGATCGTTTTAAAAAATTAACCGGAAAAAATTCCGTCGCCGGGTTAAACCCTCGTCCGTCGAATCCGGCGGGCGATTTTCCGCAGTTGCCGGAAAACGCCGCAGCGAGGCGCTATAGTCGGACGTCTTTTTCCGGACACAGGCCAGACAAACTCCCGTAACCGCGCCAATCGGCGCCGGGATAAAGAATATTTCCGACGTTTTATTGGTCTCTGTTGACTCCGACGAAATTAATTCGAATTATTTTTAGTCTGTCGGTGCGCCTGGCCATTAGCATTTATTTTTGTCGCCAGATGGCGCTACCGGTTGGCATATTTCCGAAAACCTTTACTTTTCCCGTGTTTTAATTGGTTCCCCACCCCGAAACAAAATTTTTTTAAAAATCTTTCTAGCTGTATTTCGTGCATAAAATGCCGATAAAGACGATATAATGTTTTTCTTTATATTTAAACCTATATTTGTTGTATATATAGACAGTGCCGGCTTGAGGCAAGTTTTAGGGTGGAGCGAGATCCTATTATGGCGCCCCCCTTGGTTGCCCCTAATTTATACCCTTTAATTTTCTTTACCACTGAGGCGCCCCCTAAGACTTAGCGCCTGAAGCGGCTGCTCCGTTCGCCCTATGGTAGGGCCGGCTCTGTATATAGATTAAAAGCAAAATGTTCCGTACCCCCTAGGGTTTCTCATCCCGGTTGTTTTTTTTAACCCGGGAAATTCTCATCCCGGGAAATCCCGCAAATTTCTTAAAAATTCACATTTTTTTCTCATTTTGTGTTATGGTTGAAGAAATTTTGCAAATAGAAAGTATACGAGTAATTAATTTAACTCATAAACTGTCAGAATACATTTGTATTTATTAATTTTAAACCTACTTATTAGTTTGTTTTTTTAATTTTGTTCGTAATGGCATGTTACAAATGATCAGTAATCAATATGTAGCTAATTTGTAACAGGACTCTAAAAATTCTTTACTTGTCGGAACCTGTAATATCTGGAAAAATTGTGTTTACGCTGTCTTAATATTTAACCATGACCGGTAGATTCGATAACTACATAACGCCAGGTTGTGCAAATTGGGCAAGGATAGAAACGAGTATGTAGGTATGAAGTTTTTCTTCATAAACCTGATTATTAAAGCCAAACGAATTGTCGAATTATCGGGCTATAAGCTCGATACCCCTATTAAAGCAGCCGAGGTAGACAAATCGGGAATACTAGAGAGCGAAAGAAGTACTACAATCTCGAAAACGAACTCGAAGTCTTCCAGGCTACAAGTGAAAAAAAAAAACACATAACACCCGTCTTCTCTTAAATGCATTAAAGACGATTCCACAACATTAATTAAATCGGAAAGGACATTCTCGGTAGCGGGACTTTTAATTACTAAAATATTAAAATCTTATTATAAAAATTTATAATAATATTTTGTATTATGTTTTGTTTAAAAAACGAAAATTACCTTTTAAGTTAGAAGTTTGATCTAAGTTCATTTCTTTTTTTTTTTTTTTTAATTTTCAACTTAATTCAAAG